ATTCCTGAGGGGACCACGGCATTTATTAAAAACAAAATCATAAAAGCGCAGTATCTCCGTAGCAATAAGCTAACTCCCCGAACTCTTATTGGGTTTTTCATAGTTCATCTGGGTCTACATAAGGCGTCTAGTCTTCATTCAAAAGTGATTGAACAGTTGGTGACCTTCCCTCGTTAGTGTCAAACTGTTTCACTTAACTCGAAACTCTTTGACAAAAAAATGTGCAAAAAAAGCCACATATATATGGTATCGGTTAATCGATCGAGCCAAAGAAAAAACAAGATTATATAGCATCATCTCGATATTACTGTTGATATTTTGCATTTCTTCCAATTTCCTTTAACCAAGTGTGCTTGAGATAATATAGGTTTTTCAATCATATTTATGTTGCTTTTAAAAAATTAATATTTATTTGCGTGATATAAAATAAGATAAAACCATCCAAATGCACTAAAACAAAAAATTTGTTCAGCTTCAGTTTATTAGATAGTTGTGTAACTCAGAAACTACCAATGATTAATAGGAAAAAAAGATCTCGCAGAATTGATCTATTATTCAGTTTACTCCCGGCTTGTCCCGTATTCGTTCCTTGCATAATTAGCTCATTCTGAATTGATTCTCAAGTTGTGCCTTCTTTCATCTTCATTCATAGATAGTCAAATTTATGTTTAATTCAAAATTTTCAGTTACGATTGACTTTAGTCAACTTTCTCGAGTGACACTGTTTAGCGATCGTACAGAATTCGATCGTTTTTGTCTTTGTTTTCCTTGGCATTTTGTATGATGTTCAGTTAGCAGTAAAATCAGACCGAGCTGTGAAGAATCGGTTATTCAAAAAAATAATAGTATGCTATAATGCTGTCTAGTTCTTCATCCTGTAGTTTCATTACTAATAAATATTTATGATGTCAAAGTTTCATATTTTAGCTAGCTTACTGCACTAGTAATAATTTAGGGAAGAATTAGAAAAGTGACGAATTAAGAATTAATTTACAACAAGCCATATGTGTGGGGACGAATTGAGAAAATAATTTGAGAGACAAGTTGGAGATAATGAACAAATATGGGACGAAGCGCGGAAGGGGTGAGAGATCCTTATTATTCTAATGGGTTACAATTGCACTTAGTTTCACTAGCAAAGCTACGACCTAAAAAATGTGCAAAATTCGGAAAAAACAAGAGAAGGTATCAAAATCAGAACAATGTTAAAATTTCAGAAACTTTCCCGTTTTTTCAGAACATCTGGCAATCCTGGTTCCTACTGATATGTGACTAAGCTATTGAGTTTTTAATACATCTATTTGCCAGAGCCCTAGGTTCTCGAAAAATTCATATTTTTTGAATTTTGCTCTGAAACTCTGTGCATATACAGGCTTAACTAGACTAGTTTTCATAAAAAAAACTCAGAGCGTTTCAACAAAGTCTCTTCGAAATATAAGACTCTTAAGATATAGACCCATTTCAATGGATAGTGTATACGAAATGCATTTTTTGAAAGCTTTATATCTCAAAATATCTCTGTTCACAAATACTAATTTTTTTAAATGTAGTTAATTCTAGCTGAATTCTCTTTATGCTAAAAGTTTCAGATCAAAATTCGAAAAAACGAGTTTTTCTAAAACCTGGAGTCTCAAGAAAATAGATGTATTAAAAACTAGAAAGTTTAAGCAAATCTCAATAGGAATCTCAATTCTTTTAGCTTGTTTGTTAGAATAGTACGTAGTATTTTTACGCAAAAAATCATTGGAATTGGAAGAGGGTAGCGGAAGAGGTTCGTTTGCTAGTAACAGCAAAGACGCAGCATCATCAATGTTATGAACAACGAAAATGATTTAATAGTGATTCTAAATGCTAAAATAAAAATGTATATATAAGAAGCCTTTATATGAATATTCTTATCATTTGCATAGATATACATATATACACAATGTAAAGAAAGATTAACGAAGTTTTTTCAGTATATTTTGTTTTGAATACTAATCAGAAGAAGCAAACAAAATAGCAATTAATCATACTAAATCGTTCTAAACAGATGACCAAAGAATGTATGAACGCTGTTAATCATTTATCGTTGATTTTTTTTGCAATTAATTCAATAAGATTGAAAAGACATTTCTTGTCAGAATTAAAATAAATTGATCTCAAGTAGTTGAAGATGAATTTTTGAACGGGAACTATACTACATCATTTTGATGAGTTGACTTCTAATTAAGAAAGAAAAAAAGATCGAGAAATGGGCCTGACCGGTGATCGAAACCGGAACCTCGCGCACCCGAAGCGCGAATCATACCATTAGACCATCAGGCCGTGCAGTGTTTCTTACATTTTTAGACAAATTTATTTGTTTTAATTTAGTATATATGAGGTCAAAGGAAATACTATGTTTGCTGGGTACTTATGAAACTTAGAACATGCTTGTTTTTAAAAAGAAACATTCTATAATAAGAAATCTTATCTTTATAACACAAGTATTCTCATTGTCGAAAAACCAAGGAAAGACGATATGTTTATAATGTCTTTCAACCATTTGTTGTTTTCATTCATATCGATAATTGTTCCAGGCACGATAATGTTTCAATGCCTACTACTAATATTATTTGTAAACATCCGGAAAAAAATACTCTTTATTCATTCATCCAAATAAATATCATTGACGATAAACAAAGAGTTGATCTGACTAAGTTTTAATTGTATTTTCGATACATTTTTTCTTTCTTTTACTCATATAATAACAGGAAAATTACCTTCCAACAAAACTTGACAGTTTCAATGTTCCATGAGAAATATTGTATTATATATGATGTAATTGAAAAAGAGCATAGACATTCTTTGATTATTTGTCATATGGTGAAAAATTGATTCAAATGATAAATTATATAACAAAATGTGTCCAACAAAAAAAGAAATCAATATTAGAGTAACGATTCATCATCGACTAGAAATTTTCTATAATGATTTATTTCTATTCGCGAAAGTTGTCCATGTGGCATCGTTATATTCTTTTGTTTATAAGAATAGCTTAGATCAAAACTTTGCAAGATGAAAAGATGTCGTTCTCTAGTAAGCATATATTTCTTTTTCCAGCTGACCTTTTGATGAGCTAATTATTTCTATAATAAACAACACAAACAGTAAGTTTTTATTAGTAAACAAGTCAAAACTTTGATTACAGACATACATCATGCACATAATTTGTAGTAATCAAGTGTTTACAGAAAAAATCATATAAATTAGAGATGGAGTATTGTCCTTCTTTTATGCGAAATATCAGTTGAAAAGTTTTATTTATTCCACCAAGAAAAATAATCAATCCCATATAAAAAGTGAGCATATTCTAACTTATAGTTGAACTCATTTATACTTTTTCTTGATCTGACAAAAAACATCCATTCAAAATATGGCATCATACTATTATCACAGCTGGAAATCTTTATCAGATATTCTTCGTGTCCGATATAATGTACGAAAATATTATATCTCATGATTAATGTGGTAAATAACATATTATTAATATATATATATATATATATATATAATGTCATATCACATTTCTGACGTGAATCAGTGAGCATCTTTATAATCTTTATTATTTTAAATATAGCATGGAATATATGGATTAATAAAAAAAATCCAAATGACTAATGACTTTATTAATAAGAAGTGAATATAAAAGTTATTGAATACTCGTTCTTTGAAAAATCAATTAATGAGAAAATTATTAAGAATTTTAAATGACTAAGATATATTTATAAAGATAGAAGGACTTCTTTTTTTTAATTATTGTATCGCGTTACAAGAACAAATTGTCGATCATCATCATTCATCTTTGTTTTGTATGACAAGTCAGTGTAATTGTAGTTCACTTTCTTTTTCTTCTTCTATCAGTCTCCTTTTTTTCCTCTTTCGTTCTTCTTGTCGTTCGATGCAGTCCTTATGAAGAAAGATAGCTATAATTGTTCTGTCTAGGACATCTTCCGTGTGCATCTACGTCCGTCTTCGATCGCTTATGCTTCCAAAAGAAGAACGGCCCAACATAGCTAGTAAAAGGAGCTGTGCAATAGAAAAAAAAAGAACACGATTGTTCGGGAGCGACAGATAGCACGTTTTTCTTATTCCATTCTATTCATGCCGCTATCTACAAAGCATAAAAGAGAACATTAAAAAAAATGAGAATTATCTTTCGATCAAGATCTTGCGATTATCATCATTGTTAAAAATTTTACTACGTGCTGTCGCATATATATATAGATTCTATGCTATTACATTATTCATTATTTTCTATACAATGCAAACGAATAAATTTATTTATTGTTCATGACATGATCAAACTTTTATTACTATAGTTATCGTGTACGAATAACATGTCTTAGAAAAAAAGAAACGGTTTTATGTATGTAAATGATACAGAATATCTAATAAGTACAAAACCTTATAAGAATGAAAATAGAATAGCATGCATGAATGAATGGTAAGCTGTTTTTTCTAATCTTTCCCCATATAATTAATAGAAATTATGTAAAGTTAATCATATCTTTTTTCTTACTTTTAATAATTTGTTTTTATGAAAACCATAATTATAATCACAATAATAACGAAAACAAAAGAAATGAGATCTGAACAGGTTTGTTTTTCGATCAAGTTGTTTGACAGCTGTTACAATATAAATACGACATTGTGTAGACGCTGAGATTGATTTTTTTTGTTCTTTGTTGTTTCTAACACCATGTACATCAACAAACTAAAATCATCAAGAGAAATAATTATTTATTGATTGAATTTCTAATATCTTTGATAATATCAATGTAGAATATTCAGAAATGTCAAGTATTACTTAATTCTATATCTAATCGAGTTATTCTTTTTCTTTGTTTCTTTCGACATATAGGTTTTTTATTCTATTTTCTAGAAATCCGATGCCGGTAATGAAGCGTCGAAAGAAATTTTTTCTAAAAGATAACATTCATTCGATATTATTGTCGTTTATAATACGGCATTATTAAATGCATTTGCGTATTTCTCGTTTACGTTTCGTACTCGTACGATGTTGTTTTTTATTAATTACATTATTATTTTTATTAGAAATTAAAATATTTTTAAAAAATGATAATACATTGAATAGAAGTCCAATGGAAATATTATATTGGGAAAACTTAGTAAAACAAGATCAATTATTAACAAATGAACAACGAATTGAACACATTGTATTAGTTGAAAAACAAAGAAAGAAAAATGAACTTAATTGGACAAATATATTTGATGATATTTACAGAAGAAAAATTGAAAAACTTAATCAAAGAGATATGAACAATGTATATAAATATAGTGTAATAGAAAATGTACAACATATTTCACAAACAACATTTGAAATATTCGAAGAAACTCCTGTAAGAAATATTTTTTTTGTAAAAATATAATTATTTTTCTTCTGCAGGTTTTTCAACGTCCTAAATTTTGTTCATCAACACATATTTTTCATTCACAATGTCCATATAAAAATTGTCTATGGAATTGTAGAAAATCTCCAATTAATTATGAAAATATCCGTCGAGCTAATGTATTTCATCATGTTGATATAAAGCCTGAAGAAATGTATGAAAAACAAAAACATCGTTCTCATAATGATATATGGGTATTATGGATAGATGAAGCTAATCGTCAAATAGAACATTTAAATGAATATAAATTTAATTGGACATTAAGCTTTCGACAAGATTCCGAAATATCAATTGGTACATATGGTTTATTAATTCCTAATGATGATGATAATAAAAATTTTTATTTCAATAATAAGTCAGATTTATTACTTTCATCAGATTTTCTTTATATTTTAACAAATCATAGTATATTAATAACGGATTTTATGTTAGAAAATTATATTTTAACTAATTATCGTTATCGTTTTAAACATGCCTTATGGTTTGTATCGAATTGTGAACCAAAACAACGTCTTAAATATTATGAACAATTAAAAAAATATTTTCCTATACATGCCTATGGTCTATGTATAAATAATGAAGAAAATATATGTAATAAAAACGATCAATGTGAAATGGAACAATTTCGTTTAGCACTCTTTTATTTAGCATTTGAATCTCAAACATGTACAGATTATATAACAGAAAAATTTTGGCGTGCACTTCATTATGGAATGATTCCAATTGTATTTGGACCACGAAAACAATCATATTTAGACTTAGGTATACCGAACTCGGCTTTTATACATGTTGAAGATTTTAAATCAGCTAAACAATTAGGTAAATATTTACATAAGATTGCAAATGATTATTTTCTTTATCGAAATTATTTTCAATGGATAAATCAATATCAAATTTTTTATCAAACATATGATCTTGAACCAATACGTATGTGTGAATTATGTATGAGACTTAATATGCAAGATAAAAATGAACATCGATTTTATACGAATATTCATCAATGGCATCGAAATGAATGTTAAAAAAATAACAAAAGACTATATATTTTTTAGTTTTTATGATAAATATAAAATGTTTATTCAATAAATAAATGAAAGATGAATTTTTTGTTCTCTTCAATTTAGTTGAATCTGAATCTTTTAATTTGATTGATGACCTTGATGTTTCGTGAGAAAAAAAAGAATATCTTGAAAGTTTATATTCACAGCTAAAAATTGATATAACATTCAAATATTCTTTTCTTTTTAACACAATCTATAGACCAATATGGTCTTATGAAGGTCTTCAGTATTTGTTCGTTTACATAAATGAAGCTTTACATGATCAAAGAGAATATTACTTTTTTTCAAGTAATTTCATCTAGATTTTTTACTATTGTTTGTCAATATTTTTAAGAATAGAACTGTGTCATAAAACTAAATATTTCGAAGGTTAATTATTAAATTTTTAAATAATCAATAAAATTTCTTATCGTATTACAATGACATTAAGAAGCAAAAATCTTCATAAGTATGTTAGAGTCTATATATATATATATGAAATTCAATAGTTTCATTAAATTGCATGTATTTTACTTTTGCTAGTTGCCATTGTTTACTTACTCGCTCGCTAGGAAAACAAAGTTGAAGACGAGTACATCATCGCCTCACCAGCAAATAAAGAGTCAATTTACAAAAAAAGAAAATCGGCTCTCGTGCAAAGCGTTCTTTGGATGTCTCTCGAATGTTGATAGTAATGCTTCGGCTGTTACTTCTACAGTTGTTGTTATTGTAATTCTGTTTCAATTAACAGAAACGAAAGAGTAGCGAACGAAGTAGAAGCGTTTGAGGGTGTTGAAAAGTAACTTTGTCATCAAATCGATCCATAACAACCAGCATCATCGGTAACCAACTTGAAATTCACATACATGTGTACATGGCATGAAAATACTTTTGTTTCTCATTTTTTCGTTTTTTTGTCGTTTGCATATTTTGTCCAATCTTTCTTTTTTCATTCTTTATAATAGAATTTCAATTTTTTTCTTCACTTTGTCATTTTTTCAATAGACGTACAAATATGTCGTCTGTAATCTTTCAACCATTATTACATGATCCACTTGGATGGAAATCATCACCTACAACATATGCTGATACGTTTAAATGGCGAAAATATCGATCAACTAGTAAAGATAAAAAGATTTCAACGTATGGTCAACAATATCAAAAGCAACTGCGAAAACAACAAGAACAACAAAAGTTACAACAAACAAATACGTGTTTGTCATCAACAACAAATGAAGAACAAATAATTCAATGGCCTACTCCAACAAAAAAAAATGAAGAAAATCGAGGAGTAACGCCGGTGTCTTATCGCTGTTCATCATCAAAAACAGCACCTGCTATTATTGACGAACATTCGGTTCCTGTTGTTGAAAATAAACAACGATCTGCTTCAACTAATAGGGTCAGTCTATTCATTATTTAGATAATATTTAATATAAAGGTATTATGCTTTTTCAGGAAGCCACCTGTGGTTCAAGAGCCTCACAGCGTTCGCAAACAGCACTAGCTGCTGCCGAAGGTAAAGAGAGTTTTTTAAAAAGTACTCAACCAAAATTCTATTACAGTACATTTAAAAGTCTTGTTTCGTTCTTTTGAGATGTAATCTCAATTTTACCTTAAAATGATTTAATTAGAAATAGAAAAATACTAATTTTTAAGCAAGAAAATTTTAGTAATTCAAAATAAATAAATAAAAAAAAAAGAAGAATCTCAAGTACAACCACTTCTTCATTTTCATTTTCTCTCAAAATATACTTATACTCTTATGTTTCAATCACGATGAAATATTTGTTTATTGTCTTATAACCTTAACTAAACATTCAGACAAGTGGATAAAACTTAAAAATTTTGAAAAAAAGAAACTGATAATTAAATTAATTCATAAAGAATTAATAAAATGAACAGGTAGTGTTTCTTTTTCACTCTTTGCTTGAAAAGGGTAATAATACTATGAAAGAAACCCTAAAAATATTTATGATGATTGAAAGTAATTTATTACAACATATGTTTTTGTAGAAACATATCGTTCAACAACATCATTGGAAGCTCGACGATCTCCTAAAGAAGAAAAAGAAAAGGTTATTACTGATTCAAATAATGATAATAGTCGACATTGGCTTACTTATCCAAATCCAAAAACACCTCAATACTTAATTGATATCAAACAACGTTTGGGACAATTAAAAATTCCTTCAACACTTGTCCGACCAACATCAGCAACAAATTTATCTGGTGAACGACAACAAAAAGCATGCCTACCAATTCAACGATCAGAATCTTCTATCTCGCAAGGTCAACAACATAAATCTGCTGATCAACGACATTTTCTTGATTTTAATCTTCCGGAAACACCAAATGAATTACGTGCTGCACGTCATCGTCTTGAAAAACATCGATACAATCCATCAATTGATAATTATCCATCGCGTCCACACACATGTCCAGCACAAACAAGTGATATTTCAAAAACATTAACACCACCTATTACTGTTGAATCTAAAGATGAACAATTACCACCTATTCAAACAACACAAATAAAAGATGATGCATGGACTAATGATGAAGAAAATAAAACAGAAGAAAATGAAGCATCATCAATTATGATACAACCGGTTGATGTTGATGGTTTACCAAATGAATACGTCGAAGCACTTGAAACAGCTAATATAGCACAAGAAGAATATTTAAAAAATTTAAAAACTAACGGTGAAAAAAAACCTGATAATTGTGTTTACCGTCTTCCATCAATGTCATCTGATAATAAAAATGGCTCATTTGTAAGTGAAATCTCTTTAACAAATTCATTTATTTCATCTAAAACAGATTGCTTATCGTAATCAACAACAATCAACAACACCACCAAATAATAATTTAATACGAGAAAATGATTTTGGTACTTGGGTTCGAAATGCTACGGACAAAGGTAATTAAGAAAAATTTAAATGAATAAAATTTCAACGGTAAATTATTTCATAGAACGTGAATCAGCAATGAAAATTTTACATGAAGTTTTAAATCAACCAGTTATGGGTTATGATATTCCAACAAAACAACAAACTTTATTTAAACAAGCGCCAACACCACCACCTGTTCGTACAAGTTCCGCAACAAGAAGATTAGGTCGTACTCGCACACATCAACGTATTCAATGTGAAATATGTGAAAAACAGCTTATTAAACGGCATGTCTGGGATTTAAGTCGGTAAGAATTTTTATTTTCTTTGTTGTTTTTTTTTCTTCATTAAAAGACAAATTTTCTTATAGATCAGATGCATTGACTTGTCCTCATCAAGTTCAAACAATAAAAGCACCAATTATTCCAGTTCGAGCATCATAACTAAAGTTTGAGTCTACAATATTTTATTAGTAATAAGTCTTTTATTTAATCTAGGTATCATTTGTCTACAATCGATAATTAATTCGTGAAAAACAAAAACAAAAACAAATATATACACTTTATACTCTTTTTTTTCTTTTTTTTTCGGGGGAATATAATATCTACGTAATTATAATTATTTTTGTAAAAAAAAGAAAGATAACATTGTTAATGACAATATATTATGATGAAATGTTTGTATTGATGAAGTTGAGGAATTTTTTATGATTGAAGAATTATTTGTTGATGTTGTTGTTTGAAAAATATCTCGTAATCGTCGACGACCAAGAAGACGACGTCGTAATTGATTACAATTAATTAAGAAACCACGTGTATGATTTATTGAAAATCGTCGAATTTTATGTTCATCACTTGTTAAAATATATAAAGTCATATTATTACGTCGACTATGACCACCAATACGTAATTGTGGATTGATATGTATTGTTGAATCCGGTTGAGTAATAATTGTTGTTATTAATGTTGAAGTAAACGGATAAGTAATAGTTGTTGTTATCGTTGTAGTTGTCGTATGAAGTGTTGATGCAGTAGACATGGTAGTTATCATTGTTGCTTCCGCTGTAATAAATAAAGTTGTTAATGGTAATTGTGTTGTTGTATCTATTGAAATCGATTGAGTACTATAACGAGTGCGTCTTGTTCGTTGTTTTATTGTTGATGTATAAACAATCGCTTCATTTTCTGGTTCACCTGGTTGGAAAAGTTTTGCTGCTGCTAATTTATTTTTATATGGACGACGTTTTAATAGAAGAGCATGAATATCTTTTGAAAGCTTTAAATATTAATGAAGAGAAAATTTTAAAACTCAAGAGTTTTTGATATTACTAACTTTTTCAAAAGAAAAACTAGTTGTTAGTTGAGAGAGTGTAAACGGTAATACTTGAATTTTTTCAGTTGTTTCGGTTTCTGGCATTATCGTTGTTGTCATATCATTCTCAACAAAATCTCCTAGATCAAATACACGATGCTTTCTTGTTGACATAAAATATGGTATTGTTGTTCTCCAATATTTTTGTGAAAATAATCTTGAATATTTCCATTTCCATGCTCTTGTAGTCGATGTTGTTCTTGGCATATGAGGTGATTTTGGCGGTTTACAATCCACCTAGAAAAATTCATATGATATATCTTTATGTAAAGCTGTATATTAATACTTACTAAACTTGATGTTTCACATTTTCTCAATGTTGCATCAAATTCAGTTCCAGCTGGACAAACACGTTTAACTGCATGCATATAAACAGTATTAACGTAAATACAATGCCAATAACGACGACAATCATCGGCATCATATATTGGATGATATGAATCATCTTCATAACCTGTACAATCAAATGTATCTTCACCGTGAGTAATTAAAATACGAACAAACAAAATTTGTAAAAAAACTACGGTGGATACTAGCATTTTATGAATAGAAAAATTAAAACAAATTATATGATCACTTGCATAAATATAGTTCAAACGACATCAATTGAACATGTACATATATATATAATAAGAATAAGAAGAAGAGACATCGATCATCATCATCAATAAGTTGACAAACATTTTCTTTCGTTCCCTTCTGTCTGTGTGTACTTACATGCTTAAAGTAAAAAAAAGGGATCAACTCAAGTATCCTAATTTTATGTAATCAATCGCGTTAAATACGTGAAATTAATGTAAGTAAAGAATAGCTCTTAAGCTTGGAAAATGACATCATTTATTTAAACATAATACTTGTTATTGATCAAAAATATAAAAATTAAACTTTTTTATTTTTTATAGAAAAATAAAAAAAGAACATAAATATGCATTGTTCAAAGAATAATACGTTCAAATTCTCGATAAACTGTTGGAGATATACTAGCTGAAAATTTATCATCAAAATCACGATACAAATTCCATTTTGAAATATCCGATGGTGTATTTGAATTAAGATGTAACAGTATTGTATTGAGTACTGATTGTCGTGCATATTGATGATTGTTATGAGTATCATTTTGAGATGATGATGATGCTTGTGTATATGAATAAGCATTAGATTTTGATAAACCATCATTATCGTCATTATCGTCACTATTATCATCATCAACACAATCAACTTCAATTGTTGGAAGCTTTATTAATACTTTTTTACGAAGATTTTTTTTATTATTCGTTGGAGCACTTAATACACGTTGCAGTTTCGATGATCTGAATAATAAAAGAATATTGGAAGATGTATTTTTAGTAAAGATCTCTGCAATATTGAAATAAACATGAATATGACCATTCACTTGTAGTTTTAATGTTATCAGAAATAAGTACTACAGGCGACTAGATGCAAGTTTCTTACGTTCAAATATGACCTTTCAACAAATATATGTTTCCTTATTTTTTGTGCTCTTGTCTGTATTAAAAATTTCAGCTTAACCGATTGTGTCGTCGTCAAGAACTCAAAATAGGCAAACTGAGAGGAGCACTCTTAAGATCTCCTCCTTCTCCAAAATCGATCTTGGGCCGATACATTAAAGTCGCATGAAATTTTCGGAATAGATGTGCTGCGGCTATAATGGAGAGACAATAATAAGGTTTCCAGCTCTATATCATGACGTTTTTGGGAAATATTAAACAGACAAGAAACAAAAATACCTCATGTGGCAACTCAAAATTCTTCACAGGCTTTCATGCTATATACTTAATTTTCTTTCTACTTGAAAGAGTATGTCAGGATGCAGAACATGACAGAGACTTTTTTTAAATTCTTACTTTTTAAGGGAAGCAAAATTCAAGGTCTCAAAAATAACGCTCTACTTATAAAAGTACTCTTTTATACAATAATAAACAAAACTTAATTCAAAAAATAAACTCTGTCATGCCATATTTTTCAAGTAACTGATAACAGAAATTATCAAAAACTTTCGCAAAACATAAAGTGCCAAATAGAAAGTCATGTCATTTATGAAAGATCAGGCACGGGACTATCCTTCGATGCATTTATCTTTATTTCGATAATTCTGACGAAAATTGACTTTTTTCTAAAATATAACTATTGGGATTTATAGCAGAAAATTACTTTGCTTTTGCCCTAAAAATATCAGTAATTTTCAAGACTTATTTGTTGAAAGTCTTTCTCGTATTCTCAATATATATACTTCGTTTTCAGATTATTGTGAAAAAGATTCATGCTGCTAAATTACAGCTATCTCAATATTCATTCACGAGGAAATCCATTCGACTGTTAACCTCCATTTGAGTTCATGTTTTACTCATAGATATGACTCGTACTATATATAGAAAGCCCGAAAGGATTCGTGCCATTAAGCCATTATTCGCGAGTTATGGCTATTTTACTGAACTTCCAGCCTATTGTAGGATAACACGTGAAAAATCACAACAATAAATTTCGGTCTGAAATTCTCTCCAACAACAGCTCTCATGGTTCTTATGATATCCTGCAAGTTTTAGCTCAAACGGATGATTTTCTTCTTAAGATATTATATGTCTAAAAAACTGGGTTATTTCCTTGTTGCGATTTTTCGCGTGATATCCTTCGACAGACTAACAGTTCAGTAAAATGATCATAATCTGAGAAGAAACACTTAATGGTACGAATCCTTTCAGAGTTTTTATCCACACTATGAATCCTTTCTATGAGCACTCAAACGGAGATGATCAGTTAAATGGATTCCTTCATTAATCACAATGGATTTAAAAATATCTAATCAATCTCAAAAAGTATATCTAATTTTATATCAAAGTTGACTTTAATTAAATAAAGAATGATGTTACTTTTTCTGTACCGTAAAGTCTATTGAAAAAAAATCCAATCTTTTCAATCAATTTTCATACTGTTATCATTAGAAAAATGTTCCTGTAAGACTGTTCATAGCATATTATCAATAATCTTTTTTCATCATAAATCAAAACGATTTATTTTTATTTTTCCATAAAAACTACTTACGATGAAGATTGTTTTGTTTTTAAAATAGATTTTGGTCCAGATTCTGTTGATATAATTGTGCTTGTTGTTGAAATATTCGTTGATGTAATAGTAACTGAAATATATTCACGTTTACGTCGATTAGCAATTGATAAAACACTAGAAGATTTTTTTCCATAATTATCATTTTGTGATCTCATTTTCATGGTTTGTCGTATATGATTCATATATTTTCTATGTAATAGTTTATAATTTAATTGAGTTTTCAATTGACTTTGTTTGGAATTTTTAGCATGCTGTTCTTGACGATATCGACTTTCTGTCAATAATTGTCGTAATTTATGTTGATAAAATTTAAAATCAGAGTTTTTTTGTGTTCGTTGTGTTTCTTCAAATGGGAATGAACAGCTGTGATTATTCATACGTTCAATAATTAATGTTGTTGTCATTCTTCTTCTTCTTCTTCTTCTTCTTCGTCTTCTATTTTTTTGACAGTAGAAGTAAATGCCGAATAGAACCGTTTATATTATTTTTTTTGTCGATTATGCTATAGTGTGACAGGTCTCTGTGATGGTATTTTTTCTTATTGATGAGAAATAGTAGTTGAATTACTTTTTTACCAAAAATCTTATAACTCTATTGCTTTTAATGGTGACTGACAAGTGTCGGAGAACAGTATTGTCACATAGAAAAAAAAAGAAAATCGTTGATTATGAAGCCGTTCGACTGTTAGCGGTCATAACTAGAGATTGATAATTAATAGAAGAATGAAAGAAAAAAAATCGGACATCAATAACAATGATATTTTCTTTGGTAGTTATGTAAGGAAAAGAAATACTTGAAGGTTATTGAAAGTGGCAATTAAATTCAATGGATTATTTTCGACAATTTTAATCAAAAATTATTTTATTTTGAATATAAAAATAAGGAGAAGAAAAAAAGAAAAACAAGGTTGATTTCAATTTCTGAGTTTTATATTTGAAGTAATGACCTGCAATTTACAGTTTCATAGGAAAACAATATACAATACCGAATGTTTGCCGGATCAAACAGACACATTTTACTACCTAAATGTAAAAAGACAAATTCTTATCTCGATTATTTTATTGGTTTTTTTTATTGATAATAAAACGTTCTGCACCTTTTTAAAATACATTAACACGATATAAGCACGTATGTCATTAATCGAAATGCCCTTATTTCCCTCTTATAATTTAACATCATCTCTTGAGTATACGATTCTTTTCCGAACTCAATAAAGTTTTCTCATTCATGATTAACTTTTCTAAAATCAAAATTCATATAAATAATTATACTTGTTTTTAGATAACAAAGCCTAGTGTTTTGTTCTTAGGAATTCTTAATTGATATTTATTCTTGTTTCTATTCAAAAGTTGCACGAAAAAATTAAGAACAAGACAGTGCCATCTATTGAAACATTATGAAAGGGTTTATCACCAATAACAAAATATCTTGATTTATTATTTATTCGTTCGAACAAACACTCAATTTAGTTCATTTTCACTAACCTGCATACAAACACAAACATTATGACAAAAGACAACGATCAACAAACAGAATTCTGTCAAAAATTTGCTTGTGAATTACAGACATGTCTTAACAGTAAGAAAATTAAAATACTAAAGATTTAACTCTTTGAAAAAACAAACAAACAAAATTTTCTAGAGCATACATACAATCCAGATAAATGTGAAAAAGTTTTGGACAAGCTAAAACAATGTTGTTTAGAACATGGCACACAAAGTCCTGTTGTTTGTTCTGGTTTTCCTATTTCCAAATCTTCATCATCGAAATAAAATTAAACTGTTTTATTGCATAAATTGATATTTAACTGTAGAATCATTTTCATCTATTTGAATACTACTATGATGATCAATAGACGATGTCTGTTCATTATCTAGAATAATATTTCGTTCAGTTTCTTGATGATATTTGGTTTTTAGATGTTGTTTATAAAAATAATATGTTATAGCTAAACATATAAGAACAATTGGTATAAGAAGAATACCAATAATCGAGATGATTCTTGAATGAATATGAATAAAATTTCTTCGATCGGTAGATATTGTTGTATTAGAAATTGGAAAAAAGGATGAATTCTGCATAAAACATGGCGAAATTATTGAATTTCGAGGCGCCAATTTATTTTGAATATCAACTAAGCAATATTTTTATACTCTTTAATTTGAACAAAATAGAAGTAAATTTATATATTAACAACGATAAAAAAAATGAATAACATATTGTCAAATATATGCAGAATACCCTAAAATGCTTTGTCCCGAGAAGAGAGCATTCATGTTAAGTAATGCAAACAATACATTTTATACGAAAAGAAAGCGCGTTGAAAATGGGATTTTTGAATCGAATTGGTAATATACAGGACGATTAAGCACATTCGAAATATGAAGTTTTGTAAAACTGCAAGAGTTATATTGCATATTTCCATGGTATTCAACCAGAAAAGTAAAAATATCAAGAACGTTTGTTGTTCTGTTAAATTATATAAGGTTCTTTTCGCTGATTATTTGAGCAGTACTGTTAATGTAAAAATACCCGTACTAGGATCAAAATACTAAAAAATCACAAAAGACTTCTAAATGTTAGTACAATGACATTGTTCAGTATGTTGGCTCTAGTGCGTTGATTTTGGCATCAAACTTAACAATTTTTTTCACTAAAATAACTAGCGAAAAGAGCCCTATAAACTAATAGGCCAAGAAATTTTCTTAGGATCGTTTGCTTTTGTAATTGAGTTATTATTGAAATATCCAACGATATTTTTGAACTTTTGGATAATTTCATATATCCAATCCAATGCCTCAATGTGGAGTGAATTCTCCCTTCTGCTTTATGCAATACGATCTAAAAAGAGTGTTGAAGTATGTAGGATAGAAATTTGCACTTACCCTACTGACCATGAGAGACGTTGTTGAGATACGATTGCAGAGGGCTTATCAACAATAGTTGTTGAGAATACTTTAACGACTTCCTTATTGCATTTAAGGAAGATTCAATAAAAGGAAGGTATCCAAGATATATAGAATAAAGCAATTTCCGTGTGATTAGCAACAGCAGCTATATTGTGTTTAACAGTTTAACGCAGCAGGAATTGCAGTAGCAGCTTTTTTTTGTGTCGTGTATGCGGAAACGTTGAACTGTTATGGAAAAACTGTCTACCAGAGAAACTACTTCAACGTTTGAGTCCCTCCTACTTCTAAAAACTATCGAGAGGCTTCATGCTATTGAGTATCAATTGCATTGAAAAGTTCCATTTTCAAAAAGCTTTCATTTTAAGAAAAATTTTTTATTTACGTTGTTAAAAATCAGTGCTCCTAGACTGAAAGAAATAACTTTAACATATCCTTGGCATATAATAAAAAGTTCATAACATACACAAAAAAAATAGACAACAAAAAAATAGACAACAAAAAAGACTTCCTCGAAAGATGTTTATCATTATTTTCTCATGTATACATATATATAATATTTTCAAGCTAATAAATTCAAGTCAATACTTATGTTAATGCTATACTTTTTTTCACTTGATATACAAATATTCTAGCTGAATGATCTTTGAAATCTTCAATAATTAATTTATTGTTTTCGACTAAATATTCTTTATCACTATTAAGCCATTCATACCATTTACCATTAAGTGGAATGTTCAATATTTCATATTTCTCATATGTTATTGATGCCCAATTACAAATAATAATAACATGATCACCTTGATTATGTGTATCATGAATAGTTGGATTCCATCGATACCAAGCCAAGATAAAGTCATTTTCATTTTCAAATATATATTCAATATTTGGACTTGTTAAAGCTAAATTTAATTTTCGTAAATGAATAACATCTTTATAAAATTGTAATTGTTCTTTATTAATAGCATTTGAACTATCATCTCGATCTTCAATTAATAACCAATCAATTTTTGCTACACCTGGTGTTTTTTCTTTATATTCTCCTATTTCTGCACCCATCCAAATCATCATAAGACCAAATGATGTTGCTTGAATTACAAGTGCCATACGTACACGACGAAATGCCTCTTCATCAAATATTTGATATTCTTTGCCTAAAGAAGAACGAACAAAAGCACAACTTTCACTAACACTGTTTGGTTTCTCTTCCTACTTACCAAGATCGACTAATAAATGATTATGATCATGACTCGATTGATAATTAACAACATCAGTAATATTGTTATATCCTTGTCGACGAGCATCAATAACATCTTTGAGTTCGTTAAATTTTGGTGGTTCAGTACCCATAGATTCACGTATTTTCAAATAGAAACTATCATGCCAAATACCATCCATAGGACCACCATTAGATATAAGATGTTCTGGTCCATCAGGCAAATATTCACCAACGCAATAAAGTTCTTTTCCGAAGCCGCTACACAGAAAAAAAAATAAAGAATATTATTTAGTAAAATAGAAAATATTGTTTTGTTACCGTTCTCGAGCTTGTTCTTTTATTTCTTGTACGAGAATTTTAAGAAATTTATCATTAGCTAATTGCGTTGCTGCATCAAAACGTATGCCTTGAAGAGAAAAAAGTTATTTAATTTATGTTGATATGAATCTCATGACATACCGTCAATATGAAATTCATTAATAAAATATCTAATGGATTCACCAACATATTTTCTTGCTGGCCAAATCTTATATTTTTCATCATATTTTTCGTAATCCCATTCCTTCGTATTTTGATAAAAGAAAATTTAATAACTAAGTAATAATAATACTAACTTACCGGTCCCCAACACCAAACTGGATCTTTTGGTGCATGAAGAAACCTATTTAAAATAATATTTAGAAATATTTTAAATAATTAATTCATCTTATTTACCAATAGTCATGATCAATGGCTGTATATGGTGCAGAAATATCACACTAAAAATAATCAAAATATGATTTATTTAAATACAAAGTTTTATTCTCTTTTCTTTTATTTAGTAAGGACTTCAAATTATTTCAAAATTTGACAGAAAAATCTATTACTGATTTTCTAACTCTTCTCAACATTTGTCCAATATCGAAGTTATACTCAACAAGAATGGAGAGAAATTACGATGACATATTCTTGCAAACAATCAAATAGGACAAAATCATATTGATTTTAAAATATTTAGAAATTTTGCACATAATCAACAGGCTATAGATTATGTATATTCAACAGAAAAAAAAATGATAAACCTTTCTAAAGTTCATTTATTAGACAACCATACAATGCTCTTTGCTACCACTTTCAACGTTAGTTTAATCAATCCTGGAAAACAAACTTATTTCTTATCCTAAACCTGTTAAAACAATGACTTAGATCTATTCTTTCTGAAAGCTTCTTATTTGTTCATGATATCTAAAGATTCGTACGTGTCATATTTTCACTTACATGGTTATAAACACCATCCATAATAACTCGAATTCCATGTTTATGAAATGTATCAATCATTTCTTTCAAGTCGGCAGTTGTTCCATATGTGCTCTGAATTGCAAAATGATATCTTGGTGTATAACCCCATCCAATTTGTCCAGGAAATTCTTTCACTGGCATAATTTCCACTAAAACAAAAAAATTAAAATTAATACCAAGTTACGAGAGAACGTACTCAAATGTTTGATTGCTTTTTGATCAAGATTGTATTCACACGATAGACTGTGGTGAGTAGTGTTAAAGCCTAATATAGTACGATTGTCTGAACCTTTGTTCTGGAAAATATCGAATGATTACTGAATTTTTTAACCAAAACCTTTAGTCTTTGTCAACCATACCGCAAAGCAGGATATACGAAAATTAGTGAAATTTGTCCAATGAACTAATACTCTTGAGAAGCTTATTTGCGCAAATTTTCAATTCGAAAATCAAAATTCGATTTTCATGGTGACTGAAAAGAACCACAGGTAGAGCTCGTCGGGTTCGATCCCAAAATTTTGGACTTGACGGACTCTAACTAAAGGTCTCGGTTAAAAAATCCAGTAAAAAATCGATATGTCAAGAACAAAGACTCAAACAATGAAACCATCATAGGTTTTGATACTACTTACCATAGTTTATCATTTGACGTAAGTAAAATCTCGATAAAAAACAATTGGAGACTTAGGGATGTTCCATTGTTAATGTTTTCTTAATTCGCTTACCAGCTGTAATACCTAGTTGAACAAAATAATCCATTTTAGCTGTTAGATTTACAAATTTATCTTCAAAATCACCAACATGAAGTTCATAGATAATTAATTTTTCGTTTGGAACTAATGGAACATGATTATCATATTTCCATTCATATTCATCAACTATTTTCCTTCCTTTAAAATATGAAACAAATTAATATGTTTATGTTTTTTTTCTTTTTCTTACCATTTTTAAAAATAAGAACACCAACTGATCGAAAAGGATCATCTGAACCACGTTCATCAACTTCAGTTGCATAAGGATCAACAAATGTATACCAAACTTCTGTAAAAGTTATTTCTTCTTCTCGTTTTTTATTTCGTTCTTTTACTTCTTCAACTAATTTATCATGTTCATTTCGAAGATCTGTTTGAATTTGTNATATCAAGACCCTTGAACAGATAACTTATTTATTCTAATAAAGAGAAGAAAAACTTAGAATTACATACAAACATTCGTGCATTAGCATTTTTCAATCGAAGACCAGCTTTTTTATTGTATGGTGCAAAAAGTTCAAACGTATATGGAGCCATTGAAATAAAATTTTACACAATTTCTGTATTTGTAAACCTAGAAAGTTACGTGTTTATATAATATATATTTAGTTAAATAATTTTTTCTGTTCTTTGCATAATGACAAATAGTGGGTGGGCAAAATATTAAGACATAATTATGACTTGCAAGAACAAGAAAGGTACATCACAATGTGTGCATTATGGTTCTAAGTCTCTCTCGTTTGTTACATTAAGATATCGTATAAAGGAAAGAATTTTAATTGGTGTAGAACGATATAAATAGAATACAGTGAAAATAAGGTTTCGTAGGCAATACTTATTCATAGTGAGAGAAAAATGTACTTGAGATATTAAATCGGTGATATAAACAACTTAAATTATCTTAATGTTATTTTTCTATTCATACGATGAAGCTCAAGTCATCAATGGGCTCTTTGTTAGTGCAATTTTTATAATTAATCTTTTGGTTATCGACAATAAAAGATGCATATAGGTAAAATGAAATGACTCTAAACTCCTTACATTTTCGATTCTTAACGCAGGACTCTAACTTAGACTGCACAAAATGATAATATTGAAAGCCTTTGCTGTTTGATGCTTGCTTCTAAGTAAATGTGCCAAAAAAAATTTGTCTGCCAATAAATGATTTTCAAAAGTTGACCTTTCCATTGTATTTGCACTTGTGATTTAACTCAAAGTATCTGAAAGCTTCACAATTAATGTAAAATAATTTTCAAAATGACCGATATGATAGTTATCTAGAATTTAAGCATTTTGAATCAAATCAATAGTTTTTATTAAACATTAGTCTATGTTAATCACCCTAAATTGAGTCTAACGATCACGAAATCAATCTTCTATGTAATTTTTAGTATAATAAAACTCTATCCTGAAATCAAATACTCGAGTAATGGCATCCTTGCTCTCAATTCTGCTTACACTTCAGATTAATATTATTGAGTATCATGTCTGACATTATAATCGTTAAACGCAATAATAGCAATGATTTCATTTTGATCTACATGGTTTTTTTTAGAAAAATATTGTGAACAATACGGTATTGTCTCAATAAAATAAATAACAAAAATAAAGCATATTTTTAGGTATTCCAAGATGAATTTTCAAAAATTATTGATGTAGGTATACTTTATGAACATTGATTGTCAATTAAAATTAAAAAATAACTTTTAGTCGTTTATTTTTCTTAACTAAATAAGACGCACTATGCGACAATGACGTTAAAGCACAGAAAAGAAAAAGCCAGCTACTGAAGTGTCCTGAAAGTACACACACATATATACAAGTAAGCAAAGAAGGAAGGACAATATCTTATATGGTATTCGTTCGCGCTATCAACAAATGGCAAACTACTATAATGTCTACATCAAAAGAATACGATATAAAAACAAGAACAAGAAAATGATTACCTTTTCTTTCTTTTTTCCATTATCACTACAAACAAAGTCTATAAAAGAAAATTTTCATTTTTTTTTTTGTCATATAATAATAATAAGCTTATGAATAAATAATAACATTCTTCTTATATCAAAAACTGATTGTAATTAATTTGTTTATTATTCAAGTCATGCAGACATTTAATAAATCAAATTATATATAATAAATACTTGTACTTAATTGCTCAGTATATTTTTTTTTATTACCCATTCAATAGTTTTTGCTCAGTAAAAATAGAATAATTTCAATTAACAGAAGTCTCTTGCATCAGTAATGCTTTTATTACTCTTTCTTTGACAATTATTAAACATCATTTCTCTTACTCAATATCTTTGGCTCTTCACTTTTTCCATCCCTATAGCTATCTGGAAACCAAATTAGTTTTACAGTGTCAACGGGCGATCCATCTAACAGAAATATGGCCTATTTCCAATCGTCACCGAGTTCCTGTTTACAAATTTCTACCATTTTCACGAGTTTTTCCGGCCAAAAATAGAATCTTTTTGTCAGAAACTTGCCAGAAATTTAAAGACCCCAGTATCGAAATCAATGACTTGAGAAGAGAAAAGATTGTTTGAAAAATACCGTAAAGCGAAGGAAAGAAGAAAGAAAATGTATGTATATTATATTAGACGAAATTTTTTGTTTGATGATGTCATAATCAATCGACGTGGGGAATTATTCTTCTATTTACACTAAAATGTTTTCATTGAAAGAATAAAAATAACTACTCACGTAAGTATTACTATATTTCATGGGTAAATGAGTTTTTAAATGGGAAAACTAAATTACTTAATGATACTTTCGTTTGAACATTTAATAAATTATTAATTTACTGACCAAACATAAGAATTATCGAATACTGAATTTTATACTGATAATTTTTATATAATACTGAGCATTAAATTTGTTCTCTATGATAAATTAAATACATACTTCTCAACCGAATAAAATCAATCGAATAATTATTATTTGCTTTCGTGCCTCGTAATATTCTCGTAAACATGAGGTTATATGTTATTGATAAAGTATTCAATAGTAGACATATTTAGAGAAAATATATGCAATAATGAATGTTTTTATTTTTTGATCGATAGAATAAATTTTCGATTGTTTCGCTATGGAAAAATGCATAACAGTCATCATCATCAACTTGTTGATCATATTGTCAAAAACCAACCACTAATCTAATATCAAATCTTGAAAATAAAAATTAATACATGAATGAGAAAGTATAGAACAATATGATAATCATATCACAACATAATTCTAATCAAATATCGTTGACTCAACCGAAAAAGTGTGTACTTGTGGTTTTGCGAGTTTGGGAGACGTGAAGAGACACATCCATTGTATATATTAACCGCATAAATATCAGAATAATTAATTTGTATAAATAAATAAAAGAAAAAAAAATAAGATTTTCTTTTTTATAAAACTATAGTTTACTAAATTTTCTTCACAGAAAATAAAGACTCAGACTCAGAGATTTTTGTGAACATTTGTCAAGATCACTCACGCGTGGTATCTTGATTTATGTTTTGATCAATGAATTCAACACTGTCTAAACCTTTGGTATCTTTCAATCTTCAGCCATGCTTGATTTTTTTTCTTGATAAAATTTACTGTTTAGAATAAAGTATCTGATATTAGCCGATGTTGTTATATTATAGGCTTAACAAACGAATAAGTTCGGCATAAAATATAACGAAATAATTTTATTTCTAGACATTTCTGTTCTATTTTTATTGTATAAAAACTACTAAAAATACATTCTGTGTCTATGAAATTATACAGTTCGATCATAAAAAGAATACCAATGAAAATATATAAAAAGTAAGAAACTAATCTTATAAATTTACAAATGTAATATAGATTCCACATAAGAAAGAATCAAAATAATAACAATAAACAAAACAAAAAAACAATATTTGTAAAATAATATGAACAATAAGTTCATTATAATATATTGCGTACTCGTGTCAAAATAATAATTCAAGCAGAATTCTTGCTGAAATAAATACAGCAACACGAGTATGTAAATAAATAATTTTGTTCATTTTTGCGATTAAAAAATAAATGAGCAAACATATCATTGTGATTATTTCTCCTAATTATAATAAACTAAGCTAATGAACGTTTATCATCATCAGTTCTTTTGCATTCATAAATAAAAATTCTGGTGGAGTGATCAACAAAATCATGTAAAATTAATTTATTATTTTCAACCATATATATTCTTTATCATTATCAAGCCATTCATATCATCGTCCATTACGTGGCATGTTTAATACTTTATAAGATTCATAGGTTTTCGATGATGACCAATTATATACAGTAACAATGTGAGTTTTTTGTTTTTGATTATCATCAATAACTGTATTCCATCTATGCCATGCCATTATTTGATCATCTATTTGTTCGAATATTGGTTCTAAATTTGGACTTCTTAAAGCTGAATTTGATTTTCGTATATGAATAACATCTTTATAAAATTGTAATTGTTCTTTATTAATAGCATTTGAATTATCATCTTGATCTTCATTTAATGGTCAATCAATTTTTGCTACACCTGGTGTTTTTTCTTTATATTCTCCTATTTCTACACCCATCCAAATCATCATAAGACCAAATGATGTTGCTTGAATTGCAAGAGCCATACGCACACGACGAAATGCCTCTTCATCACATATTTGATTTTCTTTGCCTAAAATTTCAAATGTCAAAATTGTGAAGAAATTGCGAAATGAAAAAATGCGAATCTATAAAATGAAAAGTTCTCTCGTGCATTACCACAAAGTTTTAGTTATTTTGTTTCAACTATCGTCTTCTTATCTTATTTTTCAATTTCACATGTAACAAATAATGAAAACGATACTACTATCTGTGCCAAGATAATTGACAAGTGGTAATTTTTTTCAATAAATTTTCAAAAGACGATAAGAGTCGGTGATTTGCGCCATTGGAGAGAGAAGAATTTTTTCGATCGAAATTAATTGAATTTCTATCGCTCAGCCACCCAAACGTTCAAACAATCTTCAACAAAGTTACTGTAGGTCAGAGCACGTGTAATCGACTACGCTGAGTCGAGTAGTAATGTTTATTTTTAATTTCGCAGCTGTTTGAGACCGCTATGCCAACATATCCGAAATATCATCATTTTTTCGCTATGCCTTTGGAGGGACAATATCGGGAAAGCTGTCCTGACCCAAGGTAGCTTTGTTGGAAGTCGTTTGGCCGATTTCGAAGGTCTTGCAAAAACGTCAATAACTCCTGAACAGAATAGGTTATAGAACTGTTTTTAAACTTTCGATCGAAATAAACTACATTGAAATTGAATTTATTCATTGTTGATATTATCAATTGGAAATATTTTGAATCATGTCGACATTGTTGCTAATGATGAAATTCAATTTGAATGTAGCTTATCTCGATCAAAGTTTTTCTCCAACAACTCAACTGATTGGTTAATAGCTAACTAATTCAATTTCAACGTATTTTGATAAAAAAATATTCTTCTCGTTCCAATGGTAAAAACCGCAGACCACTATTGCGTATTTTTCAAAAGTTATTGGAAAAAAAATGGTCAACTGTCCTACATTTTCGCAAACTTTGACTAGCAGTTCGATAAGAAGTTATTTATATAAATTTTTCGTACCAAGATCAACAAGTAAACAATCACGATCATGATTCGATTGATAATTAACAACATCAGTTATAGTTTTATAACCTCGTCGACTAGCATCAACAACATTTTTAAGTTCTCCCCAGTTCGGTGTATCAAGAACAAGAGCTTCACGTATTTTATAATAAAAAGTATCATGTCAAACACCATCCATAGAATTATTATTAGAAATAACAGCTTCCATTTCATCCGGTAAATATTCACCAACACAAAAAAGTTCTGATGCAAAGCCACTAAATAAAGCAAAAACAAATAGTAAATATTGACAAGAAAATCAGATTGTTTTTTTATACCGATTACGAGCTTGCTCTTTTGATTGTTTTAAGAAAATCGTTATTAGCTATTTGAGTTGCTGCACCAAAACGAATACCTATTTAATAGAAAGAAAAATGTGTTCATGGATTGAAATATTTAAAGGAGGAACAAAAAAAACAACACTTACCATCAGTATGAAATTCACTAATAAAATACCGAATTGAACCATCAATATATTTTCTTGCAGGTCAAACATCATATTTTTCATCATGTTTCTCATAACTGCATTTCGTTTTGATAAGCAAAATAAAGAAAATTCAATAGTCTATGAGAATAATTATAAAAACTCACTGGATCCCAACTGCAAACTTGATCTTTTGGTTCATGATGAAATCTATAGGAAAAATATCCATAAAATATTCAACAATCAATTAAATTATTTATCAATAATCGTGATCAATTGCTGTATAAGGTGACGAAATATCGCACTAGAATAAAAGAAAATATAAAGATAAATAAAAAAGTCTCACTGCTAACAACTGTTTTTATAAGAATATATTTTTGCATTAGTATACAAAATAATCGAAAATCTATTTCTTGCTTCATCAATACAAAAAGCAAAGCTTTCAAGGAAAAAAGCCACATTATTATGATTGATGTGACAGTCATTAAGACCTTGATCATATTCGTTCTTGTTGCACTCTACTTGAAAGCGTATATGTAACAAAACTCCTATAAATTTTAAAGAATACTCTCAATTTTATTTCAAACAGATACGAAAAATTTTATATTCTTCATAATAAAATTGACTTATTGTCATGCTAACAAATATTTTAAATTAATCCTCCGATTTTTCGTAAAGAAAAAGTTTCGTGTATATAATTATTAATTTATCAATGTTAACAAAACAGCATAGTTTTTATTCTTTTTCCTCTAGAGTCAAAGGAAAAACCTAATACTCACATGATTGTGAACACCATCCATAATAACACGAATTCCATGTTTATGAAATGTGTTGGTCATTTCTTTTAAATCAGCTGTTGTACCATAGGTTAATATTAACCTTGAGTCTTTTTATTACGCTTATCAGCTGTAATACTTAATTGAACAAAATAATCCATTTTAGCTGTTATATTCGTAAATTTATCTTCAAAATCACCAACATGAAGTTCATAGATAATTAATTTTTCGTTTGGAACTAATGGAACATGATTATCATATTTCCATTCATATTCATCAACTATTTTCCTTCCTTTAAAATATGAAACAAATTAATATGTTTATGCTTGATTTCTTTTTCTTACCATTTTTAAAAATGAGTACACCAACTGATCGAAAAGAATCATCTGAACCACATTCATCAACTTCAGTTGCATATGGATCAACAAATGTATACCAAACTTCTGTAAAAGTTATTTCTTCTTCTCGTTTTTTATTTCGTTCTTTTACTTCTTCAACTAATTTATCATGTTCATTTCGAAGATCTGTTTGAATTTGTTCATTTTCTTCTGATGCTAGAAAAAAAAAAGAAATATTTTTCTTAAAAAGAATTATCAGATAATTAGATCAATTTTACTTTTAGTTTCATCATTATTATATTCAGGTAAAGCTGATTCTGGTTCTGGTTCAAACCAAGATTTCGTTACTACTTTATATTGATAATGATAAATACCTTTAAGAGAAATGATGTTAAAATAAAATTTAAGTAAAATCAAATAAATTTTACCATCAGGCAAATCCATTGTTACACGCCAATGTCCATCTTCTTCATTGAATTCCATAGAAATATCAAGACCCTTGAACAGATAACTTATTTATTCTAATAAAGAGAAGAAAAACTTAGAATTACATACAAACATTCGTGCATTAGCATTTTTCAATCGAAGACCAGCTTTTTTATTGTATGATGCAAAAAGTTCAAACGTATATGAAGCCATTGAAATATATTCTCATATAGGTTATAAGCTGTCTGTGTGTGAAAGCTAGATCTTGTATACTGTCGGGTCGGTTAGATTTGCCTCTCCATATGCTAATGCAGATAATGAGTGCAGAACACATAAGACAGACATCACGTGCAGAAATAAGCGTGAGAACATTGAGTATGTTCACAGCTATTGGTCTGTCTTTACCTATGATAGGTAACATAGTAAAATGGTAGTTAGGTGAGAGAGTCCGAATATTCCATCTAGGGTAAGAAGAGAAAAAAGTGTACTTTAGTAAGGAACAATGAAAATAAACCTTACATACTCAAGATGCTTCCAGTAGAACATATATCGCTAAGAAATTATTCGCTGAAACTAGCGTAGTGAATATGAAAAAAATAACATTGATACAACAAGCACCAGCCAGTATAGGTGCGAATATTTTGTACGCTTATCAATAGACAACAATAGTTATCTTATTCTAACTTTTCTGTTTGCTTTGTAGAGTAATAGTAACTAAATATACGAACAATTTATATCTGAATGGTTGTATTTTTTAACGTACAACTATTGAAAGAAAAAGAAATAACAGGTAAGCAGTCAGATCGTCATAAGAAAGCAAATGATGATCAAAAGTGCAAAGGAGAGGTGACGGTTTATACGGAAATCGATCCAATTGAATTTTGATGATATGTTCATGTAGAATTAAACAAAATGATCATAGAAACTATAACTTACATTTTTTGAAATAATTTGAGTAGATGTTTACATATACAGGGTCTAATTACATTTTCAATTTTCTAGGTATCACATTGAAGAATCTTTGATTATGAAATCTTACGCCTGTTCTTTGACGTATATACTTGCGATTTAATGTAGACTAAACGAATAATAATTATCGATAGATAGACTCTGAAAAGTATTTCAAAAATCTATATAACAATCATTGATCAAAAATGTAAAAAAAAACAAGTTCTTATTGAAATACTTGTTGAATACCATTAAAACATGGTGCCATTGTCGAGTATAAACCATCCTAGTCGTTGAATGAAAGTATAATCATCACTCGGAACTTTATACCAATCGGTAGAGCTTTCTGCAAGCTACAAATTTATGTATAATTTAACAGAAAAAAAAGATGGGAATATATTTGAAGTCAAGAAAATTGTGCTCAGATAGGCAAAAGCGACATTGTCTAGCTGGTTTTCCACGATTTCTGCTGTAAAAATAAGATTTTCAATCAGTATAAAAAATGGCGTCGATCTATGCATGATTTAAGGTTTTTTGACGATTTTTATTTTTTTAACTTATTTTTGAGGCAACTCTGAGAGCGTGTCCAAGGCTCAAATTTTGACCCAAAATAAAACTAATCAGAAAAGTTTGAAATACACATAGATCGACGTCTTTCTTCATAGTGACTTGAAATATGCTATTTGTTTTGATTGAAAAAAATCTTCATTCCGACAGAAACCACTCAAAACCGAATAAAAAAATGTTGCTTTTCTCTATTTGAACAAAATTTTCTTGACTTCAAACATGTTCGTATCTTTTTCTTCTTGACACATTATACATAGATTTTTAGATCATGAAAGGCTCTATCGATTGGTATAAAGTTCAGAGTGATTAGACTTTTATTCAGTGCATACGATGGTTTATACTCGATAATAGCGGTATACTTTAATAGTATTCAACAAGTATTTTAACAAGAACTTGCTCTTTTTATACTTTGAATCAATGATTATTAGGCAGGTATTTAAAGTATTTCTCGCGATCTATCTACCGATAATATAAATCGTTTAGTTTGTATTAAAAGCAAGTATATATGTCAAATGACACGCGTAAGATTTCATAATCAACGATTCTCTAATATAATACTTAGAAAATTAAAAAGGTAATCGAATTCAGTGTCTGTAAACATCTACTAAAATCATTTCAAAAAATGTAAGTTGTAACTTCTATGATCATTTTCTTTATTTCTACATGAACCGATCATTAAAATTCAATAGGATCAGTCTCCCTATAAATCACTACCTATCCTTTTCTTTACGTATCGTTTGACTTACTCATACAGTAAAACTTTTCTATACGAACACCTTCTTATTGTAAGCACTGAGCGCTGATTTCTAGTCCTATGAACAATAATAATCTATGTAATATGAGTAACACATGTTCTATCACTCACGTACAAGATGAAGAAAAAATAATGCTATGCGTATTATGTTATGATAAACAGTCATGGAACCGATATAAAAAAACAGGAAATGAACTAACTGTGTATTTCTAAAAGCAAAAAAACGAGATTAGGCAATAGGAGCAGCAATGCTTGGTAAAACATCTTACCGTCTTTGTGTTAACAGCTAGTAACATCAAATCATGTCAACACATGTTGATATATCTCCGATTAAAAACTGTTGCAAAAAAGAAAAAGATCATCTTCTACAATCGACAAGCGATTTCAACTGAGCACTCTTGACCGGTTCCGATAGTTCGCATATAAAAGAAGTTTTATATTTCTATTCCATCGATAATCTATGAATTCATCATACAGATTGATTGTATATATTTTTTCTTTTTTAGGTGTGTCTTTATTATTTTTTAGAAAACAAATGAGACACATGATTATACGTTATAAAAAAAAGAATAGGAGAACACTTATGAATGTTTTTTCATCTCAACCACAAAATAGCCTATTGAGAAAACTTCGATCACCTACACAGAACGATAATTAAAAGGACAAAGAACAATAGTCTCATTGGAAAAAATGTCAATGAATAGGTTATACGTTTATCCATCAAGTTCAAGTCCAAAACCAACTTTATGTCCACCAGCATTCAAGTTTCGAGCTTCGAACAATGCTGATAAAGTTAATTTGACACCTAATCAATTAAATTATATAGAAAGATTGCATAAAGAAGATTAAATTCTATACCTGGTCGTAAAAGTTGTTGAAAAGAAAGACCAACTTGACAAATATTATTTACTTTTGCACCAACTACAGTTTGAGAATCAAGTTGATATTTTGATGCAAGTGCAAATCGTGTTTGATTTGAACCGGCTGTCCAAGCTAACTGTACACCAGTTTCAAGTCGATCATTGACACGTTGATAAACACTACCACCAACTTCATTACCATCATTCCTATTAAATAAAATATCATAAAAAGTGATTTATTGTATGTTGTAAAATCTATTTCTTTATTTTAATGATGTTCTAACCGACAAAGAGAACATAAAATTTATCGCTACATTGATATTTATAGAGGGTTAATTTATTATTCTTGCTAAAAGTAAGAAATATGCTTTATTATTTACATTGTATTTTGAATGTGTCATTTTTTTATTGATAGAAATCATTAACGAATCTTTCTGCTCTAAACTATCTTTCATTTATTAGCATAAAAAAATTAAGCGAGTATATAGGTATTGTAATGTAGTTCTATTTTGATGAATTGAGAAAGCAGACTATAGATACTTAAGACGTATCAAATGTAAAAAGATCTCAAACTTGAAACTATCATTCAACTACTGAATGCAAATATTTAGGTATTTTGAAGTTGCCACAGGAAGACAGATACACAGCGTTTCTCTCGGATATTTGACAGAAGCTTATACGGAACTCAAAAATCCGACTCTATTGAAGTCAAAGTTTGACTCCGCAGGTCTCTAATGTTTCAATATCTGATCTGAATGCCTAAATCGTTGAATATTTTTCATGATGTAATTCAATTTTCAGGTTTAATACTATTGCAAAAGTAGTGGCGTCTGCAGAGAAAACTCTATTGTATATAGCTAACACAGTTTTTACTTCAGCAAATATTTGATCTAGTAGTCACTATTATTTACATACGATCAATGCATTCTAACATGTTTGCTGAAGGTTCTTTTCGAATAATCATTTATTAAAAACTTTATCGACCTAGTTAAAATACTCTAAACATTGATTATAAGTGATTTAAGGCGACTGAAGTCTGTTGAATATCAGCAGCAAACAAAAATGTGTTGAACTCATGAAGTCGTAGATAAAGGATGAGTTCTATATTTTTCATGCATAACGAGGCTGAAACTATTCGAAACAAATGATTATCAAGCGAAGAACATGCATCAGTTGAAGTTTGACTTAGTAAGGTAGCATGAAAACATTCTTTAGCATCTTTTTGGAACAAACAGACAGATATTATTCTTTAGAAAAAGCCACGAAACATAGAAATATTATAAACGACTAATCATTGATGTTACACCGATTTCTTTCTGATACTTTTCATCATTGAAATAAAAGATTATCAATTGGTACTTAAAGTATCACAGTTCATAAGAAGTATGTCTGGCAATATGTTCATACAGATTAGTTTACTATAGTAAAGCAGAACGTATTATAAGTATTATATTCCACGTCTTATTCAGCGAGGTGTGCATTATATTATTTTCAGATGCTCCATTTAACAGATAGGATTTATTACACAAAACACTTCTAGTCATTCCATTGGGTACTATCCCCAAGATGAAGAAATTTCTATGATCATAGAATAAATGTCTTCTGAAGAATAAATTTAACTAAATCTATTCTGTAGGCTTTTATCTAGAATTGCCACTACTTATTATCAGCCCTTAGTATGATCGAACCTTTTCATAGACAGTCGCAGCTGTTAGGAGCTTTTATTAAAAACAATTCTCTGCACAGTTTCTTTGAAGCTAAAATGTGAACTCGCATGTCTTATTCAGCTTTATTATACTAATACAATTGACGTAAAGTACAACAATTTCTAAAAGACATTAATTGATTTTCAAGGATAATCGATCGTCACAGAATCGGTCTGCCCTATTTATTTTGTGCATTTTTAACAGAACTTTCTTTTTTCTTTCATTGTTCTTACGAGCGCGCAATTTTTATTTGCCTTATTACTATTCGCTCGTTATTTCTTTTGTTTTCTTAATATACTTTTATTATTATAATTATTATTCTAATCATTGAGATAATTGTCAAATAAGCTGTTGCATGCTTTTATTATTTCTAAGAGGTTTCAACGCACTATTATGCACCTCGATGAAGTTAGAAATACTGATATTAATTATATTCGAACGTTAGAACTTGAGTAATTCATGTTTTTTGTAACACAGACCATGTGTTGTTGTTATTACTGTTCAGTGCTTTTTTCCGTTGGTATGAAACTATAGGAAAGGACGTGTATGTTTGTTATCTTTGATTTCTAAGATCTGGAAGAGAAGTGGGGAGATACCCGGAAAACTTGCACTTACTATTTTCCTTGAAAATAGCAGAAAAGCTCAAATGGTTTCTTTTTTAAATTAAGCAATTGAGTCAAAGTCTAGAAATTCTTGATGTCATTCATATGGTAACACTTTCAGAAGTGTTTGAAAATTTTCTTATTACTCTTAAAAGGCGTCAAATATTTCGGAAAACACTACTGTATGAGCTATTTTTTCAAATTTTTGTGCATTTTTTTATCGATTTATTCAGAAATGTGAGAAAGTAAAAGTGCGTTTATACGATGGTAATAAAAATTACATTTTTTTGCTTTTTCTCGCAACACTCATTAATATAGCTTACAAAGAAGATCAAAGAAATTAGAAACAACATATACAGTCATATACATAAATTGTTTAGTATATAGCAGTTGTCCTTTATTTAAAAGAATGGCGTGCTCAACATTGGAAATAAAAGAAAGAAGAAAACGACCTATATCCTGCGTAGCAATACATGGAATCAGTATCGTTCGCAATTCTGGAACCACGAGAAAATAACAGAACATAATTCAAGAGAGATGACCCAAGAAAATGCTAGCCGTTGATTACATAACTAAAAAAAAACTGAGTATGGAAGAATAATTTTGGATACAGTACGAATAAATCCTGAAAATAGTTTTCTCTAGATCAGGGTCAGGACAACTAGAAAAGAAGTTCCCCGTAAGGAAGTCAAAAAACTTGATTCTGCACATCTCTAATCCTGTTCTTACAGTATTTCGTTATCTGTTTTCAACAAATTCATTGTGTTTCTATCAAAATATTTGACTGTTCAACATCCGAAAAAACAATCGAGTTTATATTGTTTTTTTTAACTATTCTTTATGTTATAACTACGTTCACAATAAAAATTTTGAACTTACATATTTGCATATAAAGTAAAATCTTTAGCTTTGAAACCAACAGCAAAATTATTTTTCGTTAATAATGATCGAGCTGTATTAAAAACATATTGATAGCCAGCTAACCAACCTTGATGACCCAAAACAATGGCTCCATTAAGAATTGGACCAGCATTATCGAAGACAACATTTGTTTCAATATGAGCTCTATCATGTGTATATGCAGTACGAAGTTCAGCTGTTTTTTTCCTAAAATAAAAATTATAAATATAAATCATTTTAAAATTATATATATATACATATTAGTTTTTTAACTTTCTTAAATTTTTATTACTTCCAAAAAAAAAGAACAAAACAAAAATATTTTTACCAATATCGGTTGTTTCCCGAATGAGAATAAGATCCCGTTAAATGTAATTTTTTCACTTGTGTACGCACACGTATCTGAAGTTTGGCAGTGTAGCTGGTAAATGTGTTGTTGAGAAAATAAAACTAACTTTTTATTTTTATCCATTTAGAATATATATTAAACGAAACAAATACCTCTGGGATGTAATATCTAAGGATAATGGACGGGTTTTCATACCAAAATGAATTCTCTCGTAGCTATTACTATAAAGGTGTTTTTTATTATCAATCAAAACAAAACATATGAAACATTTGTTATTTTACCCAGTATTTGGTATAAGACTTGCATCAAATACAATTTTAAATCCTTCGACTAATCGATTATCAGCTGTTATTTCACATTTAAGTAAATTATCTGTATTCCATTTTTCCAAAAATGTTAAACCATATTCTGGAACAACATATTTTGTTTCAAGACTACCAGCTGTTTTTGATGTTTCAGTATTATGTTCGCCAATGACATTAAAATTAACTCCATTAGCGGTACGAGTTTTAACATCAAGTTTGAATACATTAAAAACTATGAAAAATATCGAAAAAATAAACATATATTAAATGAAAATAATAAAATCATACAGTAGCCTTTATTAAAAATATCAGAAACTTGTTTGTTAAGATCAGAAAATTTGGGTGGAGCCATTTATATAATTTTAATATGTGGTAAAAAGATACCGTTTAAAGGAAAGAAAAAACAATTGACGGTAAATAGAACGAACCAATATTTCTATACGTCGATCGTCGACAGTTAATCTGAATTTGCGGATTGGTCATTGTTGAACCAATGGACAAGCAAGAGCCTAGATGAAGAGCATGTCTTCACTATCGAGTTTTTCGATTTCTTTTTTGATATATTACATGTATATTTATAAGAAATTTCAATAACAATTATAAAATATTGAATTGTCATTAATCATGGAGGTTGTTACTTAGTTTAGTTATAAGTGCTATGGTAAAGTGATGCCATATGTTTTCCGACTATGAAACATGAAAAGCTTATTTTTCGTATAAATGAGAATCAATCGACATTTTTCTCTTATTTATTTATCGGGATTAGGAAAAAACTCTTGAACACATTTATTAACCTTTTCTATATAATTGTAAGACATGAATTTGATAATTTGACTTGTTAATATAAATAAATGATTGAATATCAGAAAGAGTATAGTCTAGCTGGCAATAAAAAAAAACGAAATTTTGATGAATATTATGAAACTGATATCAAGTAACATTCCATTGATAATATACAAATTTTACAAAAATTAAAACATATAACTTTGAATATATTTCACTTGCTCAAAAACTCAAGTATTTATGCTTATGAGGAAACCCATTCGATTGATAATTTTCATATGAGTGCTTATAGGTAGGACTCATATAATGAAGACAAATATTCTAAACAAGGATTCGTATCATTAGGCTTTTCTTCTCCAGTTATGATTATTTTACTGAATTTTCAGTCTATTGCAGAATCTCACCAGAAAAATCGTAAGAAGGAGTCTCGATTTGAAATTCTTCTCAACAATATCTATCGTGGTCCTTATGATATTCTGAAAAATTCGGTTCAAATGAATAGTTTCTTCTTAAGATTTTGTATGCCTAAAACCCGAGCTATTTTTTGAAGCTCTTTCATAAGAACCCCCATGAGAACTATTGTTGGAGTAAATTCCAAGACGAAACTTCTTGTTTCAATTTTTCTTGTGAAGTCCTACAATAGATTGGAAGTTCAGTAACATGACCATAACTCGAGAAAAGAAGCTTAATGGTGCAAACCATATTAGTATTTTTATCAATACTATCAGCACTTATACTACATTATTAATTTACAAAGAGAATGATGCGATTTGTATGGTTTATATAAATTCATGAAAACCCATAATATACCATTTTAGAACTTTCGAAGATTAGTAAATCTTCGAATAAATATTTATGCATAGCATGTCAGATGTATGCAATGGCGCAGATAGCTATGGACGATTGTTCATTCCTAAAATATTCTTGGCTACACCACTGGACGTGTATCTTCTTATTACAGAGATTTTAAATTTTGAATTCTTATCAAAATTTTATTCGATTTCTATTTTAAGTCTATTAGCAACAAATCAATAAGATAATGACCTATGGTCAAATTCGACCAATAATGTAGGTCAATCATATTTTTTTTTATCCTCTTTCTCTGAAAATTATCCTACTCTATTTGTATTGCCTTTCCATAAGTCGTACGATCATTCTTTTGATTCTGGAGGAAGATATAAGTGAAACAGAATAATTGCTCAAATTATAGAATAAAATAAATGATCTATATACATTAACAGATTTATAGCAACTATAGATCGAATCTAATCGCGAATAATAACAAATTTTTGTATTTCTAATAACCAAAGAAATGATTGAAATTATCAGATGATCATTGAAGTCTACTCATCCGAATCATCAAGGTAATATTTCTTAACCATAAATACATGTCATCAAAGTCGAAACAGGTTTTTTTTCTCTACTAGCACATACAAGTCAAGTACAAAATCGACTGATTATCATGGTCTATTCGTATTTGATTGCATATTATTTGACATATTCTTTTCTTTTCACACATCATCAAATGAACATTCTTTTGCATATTACTTTTTTTTATACTGCTTCATTTTACCAATGTGATGATAATAATAATGATGATAGTGAATAGTTTGTCTTTGCTTTTTCTCTACACATGTGCGTATGAATGTGATGTTCAATCGTGCATGACAAATTTTTTGTTCAACTTTCTCATATGAAACCCGAAATAGAAAACAAATCGACACTGGTGTCAACCTATTTGCGGCGGTTAAAAGATAGATAGAGAGAGAGAGAGAAAGCAAAAAAATTGAATAAGACGTACACACACACACACACAGTTGAAGCTACTCGACTATATGCTGACACTTTCATCACATAACCATTAACCCAACGACCGAATATATAGTACATACGCATCAAAATGATTAATGAAAGTGTTCATTTTTGCTCGATGATGTGTATTCTAGCTTCTCAGTAAGAAAAGTGAACACGAAGTGTATCGATCATCAAAAGCAAAACATTATGTTTCAGCCACCATTTTATCCTCATCAACAAACTTTTCCTAATAGACGTGGTGCAACAAATCATTTTGGACCATCTCGTTCAGGTTTTTATCGTCTAAATGATCCCGTACTCAATCAAAGTACACATAATTTTAATTTTACGCGTGATTTTGAACGTTTTCCAATGCCACATCATGGTTTTACTTCAATACCAACAGATAGTTATCCTGCTTATGATATTAATAATCAACACTTTGAACAACAACGATGGAGACATAATATGACTCGTCCTCAACAACAACAGCAACAGCATCGTCGAACACCAGCTTTTCATTTTCGAGATAGATCAACATCTTATTTTATGACTGATCCAATAATAACAAATGATGATCGGATAACTGTAATAGACATGTTTACTTTATTTATTTATCTTGTTTTTTTTCTTGTCTCTTGTTTAGATTCAATTAACAAAAGTTCGCATTGGACCAAATGGTGATCAACAACGTGTATTTGTCGAACAAGAATTTAGTAACGAAAAGGAATTGAACAGATTTGTTCGAAATTTAAGACATAATTTTGAAAAAACATTTAATAATCGTTCATCGGATCAGAATAGTACTAATACAGATGAAAGTAACTGTACAGATAGCAAAAATCCTGGGTAAGATTCTCAATTACATTTCTTTACTATTAATCACATGAGAAGAAGACTAAACATACTGCTTTCCTTTTGTAACTGAAATTTTTTGTTTTTCTTTTATGACCGTTGTATAGCCTGAATTCGTATCTATCTATTGAATACACTTTGGACTTCAATTAACTCATGAAAAAAAGTGCACAAACACCCACGTTTTTGCGATCTTATGCATCCGATCGAGCTGAAACTTTTTCACATATACGATATACTGTTTGGGATGAGTATAAAAATATTGTTCTGCTGATTTTTGCTAACTCTCATAAAAAAAACATTCGTCTTTCAAGAAAGTGTCTAGTGTCTATAAAAGCCTTTTCAGCTCGATCAAACATAACATCTCAGAGAAACAGAGAAAAAAATTGAAGCAACTATGATCCAAGTATCTCATAGAAGACAGAATCTGAGAACTTAGAGTGTATGATAATTTTTGCTCTATTCAGCAAGACGTATGTGCCTTAAATACTGCAAAAATGTCTCTAATAAATCGTTCTCTAGAAAATACACAAAAAAGCATAAATTGATATTTTTAGTGTTGTTGTTATTGAAGAACCTGATGAAGAACCTAAAATTTATCAACAACAAGTTTATAATGCAAATATTGAAATAAAAAGAGCTACAGCATCTATAATTACTCCACCAATGTCACCACCAATGGAACCTGCACCTCAACCAACACTTGAAGATCATTCTCAACAATCAAATCGTGAACGTCGTCGTACAAAATATACGTCACCATCAATTTCTCAATTATCATCAACATCAACAACACATTCACACCGACGTCATAAAAATAAAATGAAATATCGTCGACAACACATCGACAATCGAGAGGAACCAAAATTATCACATCCATTTCCCATGCCAAGTTTTTCACGTCAATTTCAATCCACACCAACACCACCACGTTTTCAACAAGGATTTTTTTCTAGAGATAATGATCCTCGGATGAAAAATCCTTTTACTACACCAACAAATTCAAATTTTCAATGGGTATTTAAATATAAATATTATGATTAAATATAAATTCTTGTTTTGTTTTCTTCTTTATTTTAAGAGATTCAATCCACCAGGTTTTCCAAGAACTCGTTCACGGTCATATGTACCACCCATGAGTAATCATTTTTCACATCCACATCCACATCCACCTCCAACACCATCACGTTTTCAAAATCCAATGGATCCATTTTTTCAGTCAATGCATCCATCGAAATTTGCTCATGTTCGTCATAAAGATTTTAATCTACCACGATCACCTTCAAAAGTTCATCATACACAACGTCGAAAATCAAATCAACCAACAACAATAACAGAAAATCATGTTTATCCAACTAATGAACAACAACAACCACGTGTTCAACGTGCTAGATCCGAATGTCGAAATTTTCAAAATCAACGACAGCAACGTCATAGAAGTCGAAGTTCAACAAATCATTTTCAAAAATTTTCTCCATTGCAACAACCACCTATTATTCAAAGACATTTTACACCATTTCGTTCACCACCTGTTATTTTATCATCAGTTAATACAACAACAACACCACTTTTTTATCCAAATCAAAGAAGACAATTTGGACATATGCAAACACAAATACGTTTAATAAATCCTTTTCATTTAAGTACAAATCGTTTTTAGTGTCTATAATAAATTCGTTTCTCACAGTTTGTTTCAATACATAAAATTCCCATATTTGAATCGTTTATTGAACAAGGCCATAAATATTCATGATCAAATAAACCGTTCATACCATTTGGTAGACGACTTGCAATACCGGATATACTTGAATTTTGACGACTCCAATCAAGACCTAGATAACAAAAAAAGAAAAAAGAAAAGAAAAATGAGTTAAGAAAGAGAAATATGTCATAATTACAAGTATTGCTTGATGCTGTACCATTAGAAAAACTACCATGCCACCAATATTCAAATCTATACAGCAAAGAAGAAAGAAATGTTTGAACGATAAATTTGAATAATTAAGTATACTTGAAGAGAATAGTACGATAAAAAAAAGTTGCACAATTTAAGACTTATGCTAAACGAAATTCTCTCGTAAAGACAAAAACTCAACTATATGATTTCTTAGTGAAAAGCTTTTATGTTCAGAATGTCTTCACAAGAAAAAAATATTTGAAAACTCACTGTGGTTTGCTACCTTGTACATCTAAAATTACATTTTGTGGTGATTTTCGTTCAAAAATTTCTTCAAATGTATCAAACAAAACTTGTTCCTTCATAATCAAAAAAAAAAGAACTTATGAAAATAAGGAAAAAAAAACAAGGATATTGACAACAAAAATTTACATTCATATTAATAATCTTTGGATTTATACAAACACCATCAAATAAATTTGCTAACCATTGTGTACTTGATGACATAAATGCTCGATAAAAGCCTGTTAAATGATAACGTTCAGATATACGTTCACATAAACTATCATAATCAGATAATTTTGAACAAAGTTTATTTGGACGATTTGGATTACACATTCTTCGTGTTCGAGGACCCAATGCAAAAATATGAAGCTAAAATATACATGTATTCATTATCTAAGGGCAGAAGTTCTCCAACTATTAAATCGAGTCTAGACTAATTGCATTATGTAGATGTAAATGAGCTATGAAAAGAGTTCGTGCCCTTAGCATATTGATACGGTGATACTACACTTTTACGGTATTTTTTAAGTAAATGATGTGGTTACAGAAAAATTGATTTTCAAATTTCGAGTTGAAATTTCGCATAGAGACAGGTCTTTTGATTTGCTTCTATCCAGAAATAAGAAAATCAAATCTGTTAGTTTATATCAAGGATCTAACAGATGCGCTAATATCATAGTTGTATCTTAGGATACGAACAACAACAAGATCTGAAACATTCACAAAAAACCATTCTCGTTAAAACCTGTCTCTGTGCAAAGTTCTAAGCTGAAATTCATAAATCAATTTTTCTGTTACCACGGCATTCATTTATAAAAATATCGTAAAAATACAGTATCTCTGCAGTAATAAGTTAAGGGTACGAACTTGACTTTTCTCGTTAGATGAACAATAAAATGAAATACTTACTTTTGAACATGGAAGTGTAATTGTGCATTTCTAAAAAAGTTTGAATGATGTTTCATAGTTTTATATTGATAAAAAAAAATGAATTTCTACCGGTTTCGGAATAGATACTGTTGTTGGTAATATTTGATCTGTTAAAGAAATTGCATGCTAGAAAATAACTAACTTAACTAATTAAACTTATTTAAAATGTTATACTTCAGTCTCTAATCCTAATGGTACTAATCTTCGATGAATTCGAATAAGCACACTTTGTAAACGACCTTGTTCATTAACAATATGAACATATGTATGATCCGGATAATCATGATATGCATCTGTTGCTGCTTCTATTGTTGGAAATATTCGTATATTTAACTATAAAATAGATAATTATTTCATTAATCAAACTGAAATAATGTAAACCTGTGTTGATTGTTGACAATTTGATATGCAAGATATACCAGCATCACCTTTATCACCTTTGTCTCCTTTCAATCGCATATACTAAAATACAATCATAGATATAATAGTATGCTTTGTTTTTTTCTTCTATTTATACCATATTGTAGTCAATAGAAGATGGACTTAATCTTGTTGATATCGTGGTTGTTGCTGTTGATGGTGGTGACGATGCGGAACATGTGCAAGAAGTTGTTCGAGCATTTCGATTGGCTATTTGCTACAATAAAGTTATATTATTATTTTCACATATGGAAAGTTATTATACTTTTGTATCGATAATTAGTTGACGTATGGATTGAGCAAGATGTTGTAACTTTATGTGAGAGCCAAGACAATCATTTGAATATGAATTATCTCTCGAAATACAATCTACAAAAAATCAACTATTTCAAAAACCGACTGATATATATATAGTAATTTATCTTACTTGCTGGACAAATACCTGGATCACCTTTTTCACCACGTTCACCCTTAAATTGAAATATTTTAAAATATTTTGTTTTCTTTTATTTCTTTTTACCTTTGCACATTGGCATGAAGGGGAAAACATCTAATAGACAAGAAAAACCAAGAATTTTAACAATGTTTATTTTCTTTTAACTTACACGAGGTTTAGCTTTAGTCCATGCATTTGTCGATATTCCCTATAACATACAAACAAAGATAATTGTCAAGTTTGTATATCGTCATAGGCTTCAAGCTAAACATATAGGAATACGCTGTTTGATTACAACATCAAAACATATAAATAAAAGAAATGGAATGTACCAACGACATGTTATATAAACAATTTATTCCTCTATTTATTAATACAATTATACATTGTGAAAACATGAAAAATTAGAAGACAATGCCTTTTGTTATATCTTTATATGAATTAATGATTATGTGTAAGTACAAGGGAAAAAACTAGCCAAATTTCTATTAAAAATAAAAAATCGAAATTACCTGACAAAGAATAATTACAATAAATAAACTGAACATGGATAAGATTGGCATAATAGATCAAAATATGATGTATATGATATGTGTTTCTATTCAAATATCACAGTAATACTATGTGATCGAGATAATTATTCTTACTCATGTGAATATATGAACAGAGAGAGAAAAAAAGAACTGCTACTGTGAACAGCGATAACCTAATGATTCGATTGTTGTACACCAGTTGTTCTATTAAAAGAATGACGGCATAATCGTCCATTGCTAATGTTTATTTATCACGAGAAAAAGACGTACATCGATAATTCCTAGCATTTGAGAAATAGATATATGACAGTAGTGGTAAACATTGTAGTAGGTTTCTTGTAACTATTGTTTTGATGAAAGAGAAAACACATACGGCGAGCTTGCAAAAAATTAGCAAAAAGAAAAAGGGCATTAACAAGAAAAACCTCCGATTTGTCGAAAACACACATCAGAATGACCCCCAGATGGTGATGAATTCATAGTTTAGACATGAGTAATTAATCTTCTGAAGTCTTTTGATCGATGGAACAATAATGGTACAAAAAAGAGCTTCCCATCGCAAATACAACTAAACTCATACATGAATAAAACGATGGGATCTCCTCATTTTCAGTAAGATCTTCAGAACCATTAATCAATATCAGACGACTTTATTAACTGACATGCATAATTGACTAGTTGAAGATCTTCTTATAGAGTTCGACTTATTTATTACATAAAAAAGTCATGATTATTATTATAATGAGAAAAATTTTCTTGAAGATTTGTAACAACAATTTATTTGGAATTATGAAGTATTAAATTGTTTGATGAATTTACTCAAATAACTATAAAACAAGAAAAAAAAATGCATAGAATGTAATTGTCTTTCGTTTATCATAATGAATGTCAAGCAAAAGGATTTTATTCTCATAACAACCACTTAATTATTTCTTTGTTTTTCTTTCTGTTCAAAAAAAAGTTGCATGATACTAGTGAAAGGTATTAATTAGGTTTTTTTTTTAATTTCATTGTTTTTAGAACAAATAGAAAAATAAAAGAGACAGACACACGCACACGCACACAAGCACACATGAGTAAAATTTGTTTGTTTGTTTTTTGAAAAGATAATAATATATATATATATATATTGCACAATAAGCGAAATAGGTTTTTTTGTGTATTTTGATTTTATTTATGTGCGACGAATATTTCAATATCATGGTTTTGATTTGTTGCATTAGCAGCAGCTTTTCGTCGTTCTTGAATTAATTTTTTCAAATCTTCATTTGGTGCTTTTGTTGTCGGATTTTTTGATGATTTGTTTTGTTGAGGTTGAAGTTGTTTAAGACGATCATCGATTACACGAGGACGATTATTAACTATGCAATAAACAAAAAAAGAACAATTTTAAACTTAATATATATTTTCTTTTAATAAATATAAAATACCATCATTAGGGTCATATTCTTCAATTGGAGCCCATTGTTTAGCTTTACGTGCATCAAGTTTAGCAAATTTTTCTTTAACTTTATCAATAAGTGGATATGTTATATCCCAGAAACCTTCGAGATCGCTGTCAAGTGGTATTGGTCCACCAGTCTTTGATTTTGTCTGAAGGAAATTATTATTACAAGAAAAAAATAAAATAAAACAAATTTAAGATTAACATACCGTATTTCTTTCGCATAAACCCCGAAACTGTTTAAGTTTGCCTCTTAATAATAAATTAACTTCACCAATAACAGCATTAATATCAGTACGAACTAAAATTAATAATAATAAATTCTTGTTTTTATTTCTATATAAATATAAACTCACCATCTTCATTTAATCGATTATCATCTGTTTGAAGTAATTTATTATAAGCATCTGCTTTTGATTTAATTATTTTTTCTTCATCATCCAATTTGACCAAAAATGTCCGGCCATTCTAAATATGAAATATATTTACATGAGTAAATAAACACTTTAAAAAAAAAACTTCTACACAAATAAACACACACCCTATCTTTGCTCGATTTCGACATATTGTAAGAAAAAGAAAGAATGTTTATGAAGAAAAAGAAACAACCCGATTTATTATTGCAGCTTTATTTATAAATAAATTGATCAATTGAACATGTTTTCAACAGGAAAAATAAGATTAATATATTTGTAAAGAACAGGAAACATTTTTACTGCTTACCATTCTGTCAGCCAAAAAAGAACAGGCTTGCAATAGTAACTGATGACAAGAAAGATGTAGTGACTACACACTGATGAAATGAACGCGAGAGAGAAAGTGAGAAAGAAAATAAATTGACGACGTGGGTATGATCAAAATTATTATGTAGACTTGCTTTCTCGAAAGAACTGGATAGACTTGTTCGATAGTGATGTGCGTGGTGTGACTTGAGAAAAAAACGAAGAGAGAAAAAAACAATCCTAGAAAATATGAGTCACCATCATCACTACGCATTTTCTATTTTACCATAACATGCTTGACATCATCAAACCAGAACGAACGAATGAAAATTTTTTATCTTAATAAACAAGGGAAAAAAGGATATTTGGTTCATTCCTTAGAGAGGAAGAAAAAGTTATTTTCCCTTGATACAACAAAATGAACTAGATCATAGAGATGCATTCACAGATCTAATACTCATCTTAGATAAAGAAATGATTAAAATTCATCTGTTATATTTTTTTTTTATCTTGGTATTCTTTTTTTTTTGTTTCCTATCACTAATAACTTTAAAGGCGAATCATTTATAGAAAAAGATAATCAATAATTTCAGACTCATACTTTTCCGCTTGCCATTATTTTTATTAGTAAACGATGAACTCAAATAAAAAACAAAAGCGAAGCCATTTAAGCATGATCAAGTTCGTGTTGATTAGTTCAAGGAGAATATTAAAATAAAAAAAAGATGCACACGAAAACAAAGAAAAAGTACATACACACACACACACACACACAATAATCTGGCAAAAGAAAAGAAGATACAAAATGCTGATATTTAACATTGACCATCAGGCAAAGAAAGAAGAAGTCAATAGAATAAAAAAAACATTAGTCCACCATCATCATAGATAAACACGTGCATACAAACGATGTTGATCGAAGTGTAAACATTGTGATTATAATCATGTTAGTCATTTATTGAGCTTACCTTCGATTCTTCAAATAATAAATCTTCAGTTTTTCGTATTAAATCATCAATAACTGACAAGATATGTTCATCATTAATAAAATTATCATTATTTATTTCTTGTTGATTTTCATTAGTAATCGTTGATATTTCTTCTATATTTGAAGATTCATTAGTACGATCAACTAACTCAGCTTTTGTTAATTCTATACTATTATCTACTTGTTCTAAACATTAAATCATGTTCAATTATATTCATAGGATTATTTCTTACCGGCTTTTTCATCATCATTCTAAAATAAACAAAAAAAAACTTTTCGATTTTATATAAAAAAAAAAATCTTTTTTTTTCTACCGTAAATAATGTTGAATTATTTAGTGATGAAAGTGCTTGTTCAGTCATTTGAATAAGATTCAAATGAGATTCGTCTGTTTCTTTTGGTATATCATAAATTGTTTGTGTTAATTCATTTTTATCTTTATTAACAACACCAAGTGCTCGATTAACTGCACGTAAAAAATTTCGTTCAAATTCTTCATCGTTTTCTTCCATAGAATGTTCATTTGAAATTATTTCATTCTTATCAGATTGATTTGAAGATGTTGAAACATATGTTTTCACATTAATTGGAATAGTTGATGTTACATGAACATTTGATAAATTATGTAATATGTTTTTTTCTGAATCTATTAAATCATTGTCTTCACGAATGACAAGTTCATTGTCATCGGGTAATATTCGTGTAATATTTTCATTATTTTCTCTTTGAACTAAATGATGTATTAATTGATAAGATTATATAAGAGATTTATTAGATTTCTTTTAGAATAATTCATGGACGAATGGATCTCGACTTCGATATGGCCAACGTTAAATGAACAATTTCACATCTGATTAGTATTGGAAAAGATTTTTTAATGAAGTGAATTATGTTTCTTAATTATAGTAACTTATCAAAATTAATGAATTGCCAAAAAAAACTATTACATAGGATCAATTTTGCTTTTAGTTTACAAAAGAAAAATTGATTAAGACTAACAACAAGAAAAAAGTCATTGATTGATTCAGCATGTTGTCAGCAGGAGATTAAAACTAATTTCCACCATAAGAAAATTACTCAATCTGTACTTCTCGCTCTCTCCTTGGACATGGAGAAACAATCCTCATTTTTTATATCTCGGTACGTCCTTGTCATCGAATGATGTAATTCAAACGAGTTTAACATATGTACTGTAAAGACAGCATAAAATGAGTTTCCTCAAACTATGTATACATAATTCCCAAGCGATAAATATTACCTAATGAATCATTATTAATAACATTAACTTTTTCCAATGTTACTGATACTTGGTTTTCTGAAATATAAATATAATATCAAATAAAAACAAGTAGAAAAAAAATTTTTTTTTCTTAATATACCATTTGTATTCATATGTCTAAAACTATCAATACTTTTACTAATTGGTTTTGTTCTCATACTAGAAAATATTCTATTATTATTATTTGTAAAATTCCAATCATATTTTCTTTTTCCAACATCATAATAATGATTATATTTAAATAAATCATTTTGATCAAATAGTTTTTCATGATTAGCAAATGATTTTGTTAATGTATAACCACTTAACATACAATTTAATTTGATATTTGATTGTTTACGTGCTTGAAGTAATGGATCATCAGATGGTAATGGTAACGTAGTATGTTGAAAATTATTTAAAAAATCATTATTAAATGATGAATCGTTTTCATTATTTGATGTACTTGGTTTTTTTATATCATTATCATTAAAATATTTAGCACGAATTTCATCATAACATGCATTTATATGATCAATTTTATCTTGATTATGTATTGGTGTTGCAGATTGTTCTGGTTCATTATTATTATTATTATTATTTGAATCATTTATTATTGATTTTGACGGTGATTGTTCTAAAAGAAGAAAAAAGAAAGACTAAATATTTGATAAGAATTTTCAAACGAAATAATTACGTTGTCTTTCATTTGATTTTGTTCTTTGATGTCGTGTTAATTGTGAAAGACGATTAGTAAAACGTTTTATTGGTGATGGATCACGTTTTCTTGATTTTCTTGTTGTTGTTGTTGTTTGTTCATTATTTGATTGTTTTATTTCTGTTTGTTCATTTGTTGTTGTTGTATGTCCATTGATTTCTGTAACAGATTGCTTTGTACTTTCACGTGATTTTGAACGAAAACGACGAAGTACAGCTGGAGAATTTAATTTTGAACGTAATACATCCATTAATGAACGAGATTTTTTTAATGATTGATCAGAATTTTCATTAAATGTTATTGGTCTATCATTTGTTCGATTTATTGTTGATGATTGACGTAATAAAGATGTTGAATGATGATGATTATTATTATTAGTTTTTTTTGAAGTATTGTCATTTAAATTCGAATCCTTTGTTGGAATCATTGTTATTGATGATGATGATGTACCACGTCCACCAATTGTTGCCCATTTTCTTGGCCAACGACTACTTGTTGTTGTACGTAAGGGAAGTTGATTAGTTGTAGCTGTATCTGGCATCTAAAAAATAATAACTGTTTTGAAAAAAATATTGCAAGAAGATATTTGAGACAAGAAATTTGATCTTCATATTGAGTATAAAAAGAGTCTTAAGGTTTATGTACTTTTTTTTTCTTATATGATTGGCATATATTGTACAAAAACGGTCATATTTATCAGCACTTGAAAACTTACTGAATATCAATGTCGATATTGTTATTAAGAAAATATAATGGATAGAAATTTAAAAAAAAAAGAAAAGAATCTAGGTTAATTTAAAAGGCTATTGAGGATAGAATATATCAGCAAATGAGAATGAGACTGGAGATGCTGTTTATTATAGAATGAAGGCAAGATGTGTATACGCGAGTCAATATGATTACGCATAACAGAAAAGAAAGACGTGAACTTCTGCTGTATAACATCCAAATGGGCAATCATTGAGTTCGACCGTACGATAAGACAATGCTTATAGCGATCAACTGTCTATGTTAATTCTTTACCTACACATACTTCCAGATGTAGACAAAAAAAAAGAAAGAATGTATGAGTAGTGTAAGCGACATACTTACTTACATCACCTATATGTGAAGAAGAAAAAAATCTACCGACTAAAGTTCACAAAATTGAATTGATGAATACAAAAAAAGACGAGAAGAAAAAAGAAACAGAACGATAAGAAATAACGACATAATCGTTATGTATTCTTACCAGTTTTGATGATGACATTGACCTCCCCCTTCTCTCTCTCTCTCTCTCTCTCACTCTCAATTGTACTGGACATAATCAAGCTCACTTTATGCATAGTAAAAAAATGCAAAATTGAATATCATGACTGTGCGACTACCCACAATCGGTCACTATGCCTATATGTATATATGTGTGGTGTATAACAACAACAATAAGCAAATGGATATATTTTCTTGTTCATCTTCTCCTCCTTTTTTTTTCTTGCCATCTCAATCATAAGGGCTATAGCTTCCGTATACTCACATAAAGCAGAAGATGGTGATATCCACCATCTCATATTCCACCTACTCATTTCTTTATGTGCTTTATCTGTCTATCTAATACACAAGAAAAAAAATACATATAAAGAACAGAAAAAAGAAGTAGTTGTTTTGCTTTGTTCGTCGTTTTCTTTTTGTTTTATGAATTAATGCAAAACAGATTCGATTAGATAGATAGATCACCACTATGATCGTCATCAGCAATAGGTTTACTACTGAGACGACCTTTAACTAGTTCTTTCACTCATCATCTTTATATTCTTAGATAGTAAAAAGAGTACTATCATTGATGATGTAATATCAAGCTCAAGTATAAATAAAAGAACAACAGCAGAATTAGTTACTTCAACGTAGTCATTTGTTGTTAAATGTATATTAGCATCTGTGCCCATGTGTATACCATTAACCTTGACAATGAGAACTTGCAATAAACATTTACTATTGTCTATATAAGATTTTTATGCCAATATTTGTGTGTGTCTACTTGTCCACATAAAAAGAATCGACAAGGGCAACGTGATGTTGTCTTTTTTTTTCTATAGCATAGTAGAATGAATAAGACAAACATTACTTATATGACGTAGTACCATCAATTGCTTGTTCTGTTCTTCTGATATAATCATTATTATGCTATCGAATGTTTTTGTTGGACAAGAAAAAAAAAAGAAATCAGTTAATAGGTTACTATACTCGGAAGGTTGAGCCCGTGTACACATACACATCTATAAAAATATCTTTGTTCTTTTGCATAGATAGATATATTTAGTGCAGCTTTGTTACATTGTATGTGCAACGCATCATAATTATACTCAGCACATACATATATCAAATATAAAAGAGCGAGAAAGAATGAACCATTAGACAAAGCAGTTAAGGATATGAACATCATTCTTTCTTTTTTCTTCTTCTATCTGGACAATGATTAATTAGTCAAGTCTTTTTTAATTAACTCGATCGATCGTAAACATTTCCACATGTGTATGACTAAGAAAATGAATAAATTAATTGAGCATGAATATTAATGAGAATGAAAGTTTATAAAGAAAAATCTTCTTTGTCTTTTTCAATTTAATACATATAAATAGGAAAATTTTAACACAATATAAATGACATTAAAATATAGTAATAAATTAAATAAAAATTATTTATTTTTATTTTCATCAGTATTTATATATTGATCTTCTCCAGCAAGATGAACAAATATTTGTTCGAGTGTTGTTTGTGTTATTGAATAACTTTCAATAGATTTTTCTTCTTTTTTCTTATTAAATAAATCAAATACATGCCCTAATTTTAATGAATATGTACTAGCAATATTTCGTGAAGAATTAATTGCAGAAAATGGTACCGTACAAAATAAAATTCCATTATGTTGTTCTATGAAATAAATATAAAATTTTATAAAAACTATAAATCATTACAATTTTACCATCAATTTTAACACCTGGTAGAGTTAACATTAATTCTTCTTTAAATAAATTTATATCTTGAAGTGGTAATTTTACTTGTACAGCATAACCATTTCCAAAACGATTTTTTAATCGTTGTAAATTTCCAAGACACATAAATTGTCCTAATTTCATTATACCTATTTCTAAATTAAAATAATAAATAATAAGTCTTTGTTTTTCTTTATTTAATATCATTTTATCGATACTTACTCGTACATAATGCTTCACATTCTTCCATACTATACGAATCAAAACAAAAACATTTAGAAAAATTTTGAAAACTGTATTTTCTTTTTACCTATGACTTGTTAAAATAATAGTGAGACCAGCATCGCGAGCTGCACGAATAACATCCCATAGTTTTCGTTTTGCAGCTGCATCTAAACCCTAATAATAACAAAACAAATTTTCAATGATATTTTCTTTTTTATTCCAGATCTTACAGTTGTTGGTTCATCCAAAAATACTAATGCTGGATTGGCCATAAATGCTAATGCTGCACTTACTTTTCGTTTATTTCCACCACTAGATTCAATCCAAAAGAAAAAAAAAATATGATTTTTTTTATAGTGAGAAAGATTTACCTTAAATTTTGTATTTTTTGAGTTTCATAAACATCAAGACCAAATAGTTCAATCATATCATCACATATTTGAGATACTTCTGACCATTTTAAACCTTTTAATCTATTATGAAAAAATAAAAAGAAAAGAATCGAAGATTGATTTACCTAGCAAATAAATATAATGTTTCAATCACAGTTAGATTATTTATCAACCAATCAAATTGTGGACAAAAACCAATTTCAAGATCTCGTTTCTAAACAAAAGTCAATTCATTATTATTCAAGAATGATAATAAATATTCACCATCTTATTGATATCTTTTCCATTGATAATTATTTCACCTGATGTAGGTTTCAAATCATTGATTAACATTCGAAATGTTGTTGTTTTACCAGCACCATTTGCTCCTAAAACATAAACATAAAAATGAATAAATAAAAGTTAACAATATAAATTCGTGTATTATAAACTAAGAAGATTGATCATACTCGAGTTCAATGAATGCTTTAATTTCCAAATTAACTAATTTAAAATACGTGCGGCTCATTGCATACACAGACCGCTTTTCCAAGAAATTATAGCAACATTTATTTTTCTTTTTTTTCGTCATGCTTAGGATACAGTTCCCGAGTTGCATAAGAAAACAACAGTCTCTCATATATTTAAAAGCAATTTTACAACAGTCAGAATATTGTGTGTATTACTCTTGTATTCAACAATAATGGTATCTTGGACTTTTTGTAAAATTACTTTTGAGTATATTTTATATAATTTTTTTTTCCTATGCAACTCTCTGAACTTTATCCAACCATTATGGAAAAAAAGAAAAGCTGCTGAAATGAAGTGTGGGCACAAGGCATAGATTGTAATTAGCTTCAAATTCGGATATCTCGATCTGTGTCAGAGCTGTCAACAAGTCAGCTTTTTATAGTCTGACCTCACTCGGTAGCCTGCAGGCTAAGCTAAATGTAAAGAGTGGCCTGAGAGGTAAACCAAGTCGACTGATATTTCTATTTTATTTTATAAATTCACTAGGTTCTATAATCCTATTATAATGCATCATTCTATTTTTATGAAAATAGTATAATGACAAGTTCTTGGACAAAATATTGAATTGAAAAAAAAAGAGATAAATCATCAAAAGTATTTTACATACAAGAAACATTAGATTTATCAAAACTCTTTTTGAATATATCAGCAAATTTTCACATAAACAGAAAAATCTATTTATGATAGCAAAAAGAAAGATCAGATATAAAATGAAGAGGTAAAATGTTGTAGATGACTATGTGTGAAGACATAACCCAGTCAAACGGACTTACAGCACACACAAAAAGATAGAAGTAAGAAATAAAAGTGTGGATGAAAATGAAGAGAAGATTATGTATATATCCAAAACGTTTGGATCACTTTTGCATAAAAATAAAGAAAAATGTTCTTATCTACTGAGCCATGTGATACAACATTTTTCTATCAGTAGAAAATTGAAGTAGGAGAATGATGCTACAGAATGTTTAAAAAAAAAGAATTTCTGTAATGTTGTTAAATTACGTGCTAGACTCGATCAAAGAACTCAAACCCAACGATTCTGTTATTAAGTTTCGGCGCGCGCATAGAAAAGACTAACTCACTACTCCTTCTATTTTAAGATGATAATATGATTATATACCTAATAAACCAAAACAAGATCGTTTTGCAACATGAAAATTAAGATGATTAACAGCTGTAAAAATTCGACGTTGAAATGATTTTTCTTTTCTTTTTTTAAATCGTTTTACAACATCACGAACAAGAATAACAGATGATGTTGATAAATTATTTTCTTCGAATATTAATCGACGTTCATTTCTTACATCTTCATCAAGTTGCTATCATAATAATTAAATAATTCTAATTGTTTTATTAAACAAAAAAACAAACAAACATTTTTATTTAACATACCGAATCATCCCATTGTTTTGGTATTACATCTTCTGCATTATCCATTGGATTGT